ATTCAATTTTCGATGAAATCAAACAAAGTTTAATTTTGGACCCTTTTGACCTCAATATGAACCAATTTGATAGCGGGGCCTACAAATAAAAAATCTAAATACATGGTTAGATTCAGCATATCAAAGAACCTCATATATTCAATTTTTGTTGAAATCAAACAAAGTTTAATTTTGGACCCCAATTTGGACCAACTTGAAAACTGGGCCCATAATCAAAAATCTAAATACATGTTTAGATTCAGCATATCAAAGAACCCCATATATTCAATTTTTGTTGAAATCAAACAAAGTTTAAATACTGGACCCTATCTTGGACCAACTTGAAAACTGGGCCCATAATCAAAAATCTAAACACATGTTTAGATTCAGCAAATCAAAGAACCCCAAGAATTCAATTTTTGTCAAAATCAAACTAAGTTTAATTTTGGACCCTTTGGACCTCAATGTAGACCAATTTAAAAAACAGGACCCAAAATTAAAAACCTAAATACACGGTTAGATTTGGAATATCAAAGAACCCCAATAATTCAATTTTAGATGAAATCAAACAAAGTTTAATTTTGGACCCTTTTGACCTCAATATGAACCAATTAGATAACGGGGTCCACAAATAAAAAATCTAAATACATGGTTAGATTCAGCATATCAAAGAACCCCATATATTCAATTTTTGTTGAAATCAAACAAAGTTGAATTTTGGACCCCAATTTGGACCAACTTGAAAACTGGGCCAAAAATCAAAAATCTAAATACATGTTTAGATTCAGCATATCAAAGAACCTCATATATTCAATTTTTGCTAAAATCAAACAAAGTTTAATTTTGGACCCTTTGGACATTAATGTAGACCAATTTGAAAACTGGACCCAAAATTAAAAATCTAAATACACTGTTAGATTCGGCATACAAATAAATAAATGTGATCAAAGATTTTACAAATCTAATGCGCCATACTGTGCAATTAAAGATGACTTCTTGAAATTTTTCAATATTTGAAATTTGAAAAAAAAATAATATTTGAAGAATAATTCTTTTTAATTTCTGAAATCTGAAATGAGAAAAAATTGGCCCCCCACAATTTCTTTTTATCCCCCCCCCCTTTTCCCCCCAAAAAAATTCTTTCCCTCAAGATATGGTCATAATCTCAATTCAAATTTCCAATGGAGTTGGCAACCATAATTACCCATTTAAATTTGGACATTAATGTAGACCAATTTGAAAACTGGACCCAAAATTAAAAATCTAAATACACTGTTAGATTCGGCATACAAATAAATAAATGTGATCAAAGATTTTACAAATCTAATGCGCCATACTGTGCAATTAAAGATGACTTCTTGAAATTTTTCAATATTTGAAATTTGAAAAAAAAATAATATTTGAAGAATAATTCTTTTTAATTTCTGAAATCTGAAATGAGAAAAAATTGGCCCCCCACAATTTCTTTTTATCCCCCCCCCCTTTTCCCCCCAAAAAAATTCTTTCCCTCAAGATATGGTCATAATCTCAATTCAAATTTCCAATGGAGTTGGCAACCATAATTACCCATTTAAATTTACCATAGTGCTAACTTAATCTATTTTATAATAGAATTAATAAAAATATAGTGTCAAATCTTTCATATGGATTTTTTTGTAAAAAAAAAAGATGAAAACATTTGCAGATATTTTTACTGGTCTTCCTTTATAAATATGCATTTCTTTAAACATAATTTAAAAGCAGTGTAAGGGAAGTAACCAAAACGTTGTATTTGGATTACCTCCCTTACACTGTTTTAGATTATCTTTATTGTTCATTAACCATTACTTTATACATAATTTAAAAGCAGTGTAAGGGAGATAATTTCAATGATGTATTTGATTTATCTCCCTTACACTGCTTTAAATTATGTTTTGTACTAAAGTATTTGTCCATTAACAAGGACAACCTTGTTTTTCCCCCTTTTTTGCCCCTAATTCCTAAACGGTTTGAGCCATAACCCCCCAAAGCAAATCCTAACCATCCCTTTGTGGTATGGAAACTTGTAGTATAATTTCAGAGAGATCCATACACCGTTCCACAGTTATTGTCTGGAAACTAGAAAATGCTCATTTTTGGCCCCTTTTTGGCCCCTAATTCCTTAACTGTTGGTACCATAACCCCCAAAATCAATCCCAACCTTCCTTTTGTGGTATTTAACCTTATGGTCAAATTTCAAAAAGATCCATTCACTTAAACTAAAGTTAGAGTGCGAAAACCAATATGTATTCGGACGACGACGACGCCAACGTCATACCAATATACGACCACAAAATTTTTTTGCGGTCGTATAAAAATATATTCAAAAATACGAAAGTTTTATGATTTTTTTTTTGGTAAACTAAATAAAAAAAGTTGAATTACTTGAATTTTATACTAGATTTTAATGAAAACTTAGACAAAAATACGAATGTTTTATGATTTTTTTTTTTAAGCTTTATACAAAAAATTAAAATATCTTTGAAATTTATACCAGATTTTAATGAAAACTTAGACAAAAATACAAATGTAATTTCTTAATTACCATGCTAATAAATATATTAAATTCCTTTGATTGTGTGATTATTGGTTGATTATTAACTAATCAACTTGGTTTTTTTTTTATCTTTAACTAATGAACTTGTATAATCATATAAGCATGGTCATATTCTGCTGAAATGTGCTGAATATTGTATAAAAATAAATTTCATACTTTCTAACTGTTGGTCATAAACAATTTTAAACCTTTAAAACACAATCAATAAATTCTTTCATTAAATAAAATTCCTTTTAGAAACAATAGAAAAATACCCAAATCTATTCAATGTTACTGATTTGGAATGATTAAAAATTAAATCAAATAGTTGTCAGTAAAAGTTTAAAAAAGAGTCTATTCAAGGGAGACAACAAAGCCAATCTGCCACGGTTTTCTCTATCCAATTAGACAAGGAAAATTAGCTACAAATTGGTTATTGTAATTTCAAATTATATACATTTTACAGACTTAAGAGGTATTGAGTGAAATTAAAGTATATATTCATCATTAAACACCATTTGAATGCATTTAAATAAGTGGGTACGAGTTTACAATGGTATGAATTTACCGTGGTACGAGTTAGCAGTGGTACGAGTTTGCATTGGAACGAGTTTTTGTTTAGTGGTACGAGTTGACATTGGTACGAATTACAATGGTACGAGATAACTATAATTCCTTTGTACTTGTAACCTGGCAAAATATTAACTAGATTTATTCATTACAATCTGGATAAAACTATGTTAGCCTGATTCAATGTACATCAAAATGTATGTTATGTAAATCCAAAGGACAAACAATGAGAGACGTATGCAACAAACATACATTGTTTGTACCTAAATAACTATAATATAGATGAGAGCATGTCATTGTTTTGTTCCTGTTAACATTGTCATTGATATTTTTCAAGAAAGTCTATGAGGCATAGCTTAAGCATTCCTGTCATTACTACATAAGCATAATTACTGCTAAAATAATACTCAGTATGATATACCTCTTCAAGGATTTGTATAGTGACACTATACAAATCCTTGACCTCTTGTAAGAAATCATTATAATTGTAGCAAGCACCAAAAAATCTCAAACAGATCACATTGAATCGTAATCCAAAAAATTATGACGTCTTGAATTAACCACCCCCTTTTATTCTAAAACGATAATTGCGGTTGTAAACTGACTTTGATTTATTCGCATGGCGATTACATATATAACTATATATTTTAAAAAGAAAATAGAGTTTTACCATGAATAGTTTCCTGCACGTAGTCTTTTTCAGTAAAATGTGCCTTGCAAACAACAGCTGATTAAGATGGACTCCACGATTTCATCGTGTTCTCGTCCAATCTGCGTATGGGCCATGGCGTTGATCCAACTTTTCCTTCTTTTTAAGTCATTTGGAAATGCATGTCCTCCTCTTAAATGACATCCAGGTACACAACAACAAGTACTTGGCATCGTTAATTAAAAATGCAACTGTAATAGTTGCACAGTGCAGAAACCGGAAGTTGAAGTACAGGATCGGCTACCACGGCGCCACCTATTCAGGAACGATAATTTGCTACTTTATATAACTGCGAAATAACAATAACGTTAGACGGGTTCGCGTGCATAAACAGAAATGCGCTTTAAATTGTATAATATAATTCATGTTCAGTCGACCTTTAATTATTATATCAACGACTGAAATGATTTATAAACATCTAGATTGCAGAAAACACTCGGAATTAACCCGAGCTCTTTCCACACGGAATTCAAATAATTCTAGTTTGTCAATCGGTTGACTGCTTATAATGTAAAATACAAATATATCAAAAGTTTTTAAAACTAACAAAACACAATGATCGTTTCTCTATTTCCCAATGTAAATGAAATGAGACAAAAAACATTTTATACCACAATAAGAAGAGGAGAGAATCAACATTTTCCGGATCTACTTGGAGCTAAATGACCCCCCACGTAGATAAGTTGGATATCGCGGAAAGAAATATTAACACGGCAACTAGAAAGGCATTAAAGCACTGCCTTTAAAAACGAACTCAGAACATAAATAATACCTAAGACTTGGAACGTGAAATTCGTGACATATGGGACAATTTAACTGTAACTTACCTGAAATCGTTGTATAACAGCATTCCTAGGAGGATTTTACGAGTAATGAGGAATAAATGAAACATTACAAAGTATTAAGGTAGGATTTGTTTATTTTGTGACTTGTTCAATAGTTTCGAAGTTTTTTCATGTGCAGATTTACATCGACTGTTGGCCATTTTGTTTTTACGAATACTTATGGCGGACAACTGTAGTTTCTTAAACATTAAATTCTTCATGAACATTAAAGAAGATATATCTATTATGGAACCTGTAATTAAAAGTCATTTGTGAAGAAACACATTGCATCAAAGCTTTGTGCAAAATGCAGCTGTCTTGTCAAAGAACAATAAGCAAAATCAAGGGTAGCTGAACTATATACCTTGTGGTGGTGCATTACTGGGTATATCTCTCAGTAAAGGGCAAGTGATAAATAAGTTGTGGATGTATGACTCTACTTGCAGTCTACAATGTAAATCAAAATATGAAATTCAATGAAAAATATATTTACAAATTGTTTTCATTAAACATCATGTATTAATCTATTGTCTACAACATTTGACATGTGGTGTTGTTCACTTTTTTCTATTGGCTACAACATTTGCCATGTGGTGGTGTTTATTTTTTTTCTATTGGCTACAACATTTGCCATGTGGTATTGTTCACTTTTATCTATTGTCTACAACATTTGCCATGTGGTGTTGTTCATTTTTTTTCTATTGGCTACAACATTTGCCATGTGGTGCTGTTCATTTTTTTCTATTGGCTACAACATTTGCCATGTTTTGTTTTTAAAAACTTTCTAATGATATGAAAAACCAGTAACTGTTTCAAGGAATGTGCCACAATCAATACAGGGTAAATAAATCCACATTAAATCAACTTCATCATAATTATTCTATTTAGCTGTCATATTAGTTCATGTTTGTATATTAAATAAATTAATGCAGATTTTAAAAGCTTTAAGTTGTAAGAAAGCAAACAACCTTGCATATTTTAAGCCAGAAGCTATTTAACACTTCATGAAAAATTCAAAGCCTTCAAAGATAAATACCATAGGAGTCTTTAAAATATGTCATGCTCTTAATTAGCCAGAGAGTAGAGTCAACAAGACCAGAACTTGGTCTGGACATGTGTCACTGCATGCAATTGATTCAGGTAACATGTATACTAACGCATTATTATTCATAACCTTTCGTTGAGCCAAGAAAAACTTTGATGAAAGTTTTCAATTTACTATGGTTGTTGAAGAACTTCAAACTATTGGCCATCAGGAATTTGCTACACTGCAGATGTAAAAATTCTTTACATACTACAAATCAGCATTATCAAGCTGCAGACTAAATATAAAAAAAATTCCCTTTCAGATAAGCAAAGCAAATATTGACGAAAGTTTTCTACACAAGATTTTTCAGACAGATGGACAGAGACGAACAGTACCTAGACCTGCTTTTTCAGTAAGTGATGCCGGTAATGAACAATGAAACAAAGATCATGTGACCTTCAACTTGCATTCTACACACTAAATTATATGGCTCTATGAAGGTTTCTGAAAAGTCTGTAGATATACAAGCACTCATGGTCACCTGAAGTTTTTGTTAGCACCCAGCTTCTGCATGTACATAAAAATCAAATATATGTTTAAAACAAATAACCTGGCAAGTTGTGATGAATAAGAATGAAGTGATAGTTTGGTCTGCAAATTTTCTCTGATAGTCTCTAGACTTTTCTTCAATCTTTTAAAAGCATCATCATCAAAGTCTATCATTTCATACTGATGGTTGGCTTTACATGTAACTCCATCCCCACAAGGTCCCTAGAAAAGCGTACAGCGAAAATAGCATTACACTAGAGGACTATATGCAAAAATATTTTTTATAAAGCATAGTTCATTTGACATATTGGTCATTACCTATGATCTCATTGTCATATGTACATTTATCCCATAGTAATTTTATTAAAAGGCAAATCTGCTTTCCTTTCAAGCTATTTCAAAATCATAAGTGTATACAAAATACATGTTCATGTTGCAATATAGACCTTAAACAAATCATATACATATACTTTGCAGGTGTATAAATGTATATCAATCTTTGAGAGAGATGAATATTCCTTTTTAAAGACTTGTGATTTCACTCCTCAAAAAGTTTTTAAATCTTTGCATTGCAGATTGTTTTTTTTTATCGTGTACCTTTTATAGTCACCTCAACTGACAAATTTGTAGATCTAAATGTTCTTAAAGTCAAATCTTACCTTAGCCGTGACAAAATGTTTAGAAGTAACCCATGACTGTTCCTTTATTGCACTGTATTGTTCATGTAAGACTTTTATCTCTCCTTCTGACTGCATTAAGTTCTTACGAGCTCTCAAATAACTCAGTAAAATCTCATAAAATTCATGGTTATCTTTCTTTTCATCTTCCTGTAAAAATTTCAGAAAAATAAATAAAGAAATAACCCCTTCTGATTAAACATGCTAGTTTTACAAGCTTTCACATATCTCAGTAAAATATCATTCATGTAATATGCATGATTTGCCTATTTGCTCATCTTACAAGGGCTACCTCTAAATGTTTATTCTTAGTAAAGTTGTGGTTCTATGTTGCTGTCTTATTGATGTTGCCAAAACCTTTCCTTTGGATGCTACATATATCTAAATAATAATAACATTTTAAAAGTTTGAAAAGGGGGATAATTTAATGCAATCAAGAACCATTAGATAAAAAAAATATTAGACAACACCAAATCCATAAGGAAATTAGGAACTGTCAAACAATTATTTGTAAAACCATACACAGAAAACTAAAGATAGAGAAAGACAACAGTTCTAAAATCAGAAGTGAACTCAGGTGCTCAGGAAAGGTCAATAGTTCCTGCTCCACTATTGATCACATAATAATAAAGACCATAAAGTTGAAATTTTCATGTGACTAGACTTTTCTTCTAAAATCAAAGCTACATGTAGCACATACTTACTCACTAATTCACCATGCAAATGTTTTCAACTAACAAATAATAGTGTATATATGTATCTACATATACTATACTGTACCTGTAAAACATGTCAACAAAGAATTGTGTATCTACATGTACTATACTGTACCTGTATAAACATGTCAACAAAGCATTGTGTATCTACATGAACTATATTGTATAGTACTTGTATAAACATGTCAACAAAGAATTGTGTATCAACATGTCCTATATACTGTACCTCTATAAACATCATGTCAACAAAGAATTGTGTATCAACATGTACTATATACTGTACCTGTATAAACATGTCAACAATAGCATCTATCTGAATTAATCGAGGATTGTAATACAGACTCTTAAGTTGCTCTAATGTTAATGGTTGAACAATATGCTGACGGATTTGTGAATTTTCTTTTCTATGCTGTTCCTTTTGTTCTATGTCAGATCTTTTAAGCCTTGCTAAATCATACTGAAGATTAGGATATAAATTGACAGACGTTTTCTTCTCAGAGAAATCATTTTTAATGTCTAATTGGTTTGTGTGTTCACCTTCTTCATGTTCTCTCACTACTTTTAGTTTTGGAATATTATTTAGGGATGCATGTTCTGATTTAATATTTTTGGTGGATTCTTCTCTATTAATTTCAGATAGCACATGTTCTGTACTACATGTATCATTATTCACATCGGTCTCCTCTGTCTTTTCTTGGTCCTCTTTTATTGTTTCAATCTTTTCTTTTTTTGTCACTTCCATGTCTTTATCTTGCACATTTTCAGCAGAAGAATTGTCTTCATCAACTTTAAGTTTTTCCATATTATCAATCAAAACATTGGTTGTTAGAGCTGGTAAAGTTCCAGATTCTGGTACATTAGGATTTTGAATGGTGCTGTCTTTCCCTTGTTTGTCAAGAGAGAATTTTTCTTCATCTGTCTTTGGGTCTGATTTCTGTACTTTATTTTCCACATTTTCTGTGTTTTCCGATTCTTTTGTGAATGAGACTTTTGTTTTGTCACCAATGTCTAATTTCAGACCTGGTTCTTCACTAACAACATGTATCTTTTCCTTCTTTTTCTACAAATAAAATGGGAAAAAAAGTGTAACAGATGTTCCAAGAACATCATCATGATTATTAGCAGCTTTCAAAAATTATAAGTATTCATATATAAAAAAAAACAGAATTCAACAATTAACATCATCTAATGTAAAGCCTACTAAAATATGTTACAATGGATACCTATGGGACCAAATTGAGCGTTGATTTATCATCTATCCTTTCCATATTTTATTTTAATTATGGATTTCATTTGATATATCAAGAATTGCAACTTGAGAACTACAAAAAAAAAATGTACATGTACTCTCTGACCAGTATAGTAGAGAATTGCTGGCACCAAAATTAAAAAATTCGTAAGGGTTCTGCGGAACCCAGTGTCTCGCCTACTTTTTCTGTTAATCGCAGGCTCAACAAAAATGAGGAAGTAAATCAATAAAAATATTCCTCTTGATACTGTCTTTTGATTGTAAGAAGCTTCTGTCCAAGTTTGGTAAAAATCCAGGATAGTTTATGAATCTAATAAATGTTTAAAAACTTTAACTGCAGACTGAATGTAATGTTAACTGGAAGAAAACAAAATTTCCTTCTGGATACTACCATTTGATCATAAACAAGCTTCTGTCCAAGTTTGGTACAAATCCAAAATAGTATAAGAAAGTTATTAAAATTTTAAAAACTTTAACCACAGAGTGAATGTGTTGTTTCCTAGCAGAAAATCTAAGTCCATTTAAAAGTAAAATACGGAAAAAATGGATTTATTTTTTTACAAAATGTCCTTCTAGATACTAGCTTTTGATCATAAACAAGCTTCTGTCCAAGTTTGGTACAAATCCAGGATAGTTTAAGAAAGTTATTAAAATTTTAAAAACTTTAACCACAGAGTGAATGTGTTGTTTCCTGACAGAAAATCTAAGTCCATTTAAAAGTAAAATAAGGAAAAAATGGATTTATTTTTTTACAAAATTTACTTCTGGATACTATCTTATGATCATAAACAAGCTTCTGTCCAAGTTTGGTACAAACCCAGGATAGTTTAAGAAAGTTATTAAAATTTTAAAAACTTTAACCACAGAGTGAATGTAATATTTCCCGGCAGAAAAACTAAGTCCATTTATAAGTAAAATACGGAAAAAATGGAATTTTATTTTTACAAAATTTACCTCTGGATACTATCTTTAATATGATCATAAACAAGCTTCTATCCAAGTTTGGTAGAAATCCAGGATAGTTTAAGAAAGTTATTAAAATTTCAAAAACTTTAACCACAGAGTGAATGTTTGTGGACGCCGCCGTCGACAACGACGACGACGCTGACGGAATGTAGGATCGCTATGTCTCGCTTTTTCGACTAAAGTCGAAGGCTCGACAAAAAAAAACACAGGAATAGTTTTAAAATTGAAAGGACATAATCATATCTTAGTTTATTTAAGATGAAAATATGTTGTATAAAATAACTTCAGGCAAGCAACTGTAAGATATGAATTTTTATAACCTCCAATCTAGTGGAAAATAATAGAGCTTACACAATGAATCTAATATTTGGGATTCTTTTTAACACGACCCAAGATTTTGAGACATTTGACCTGTTGATGTGATACAACAATCACTTTTGCTTTGTGGCATTTAACTCTGTCTCATGAGTGGGAGGAATTGGTAAGCCTAAATTCAGTGGAATTTGATTCCTCTTCATAAGTGGGGTGAGTTGGCAGGCCTTCATTCATTAGGATTAAACTACTTTTCAATAGTGGGGCGAAGTGGTTGGCCTAAAATGATTGAGATTAAAACTACATTTGATTTGATAAGCCTGAATTCAGTGGGATTTAACTCTTTTTCATGAATGGGGAAAGTTTACAGGCCTAAACTCAGCGTTGATTTAAACCCTTTTCAGTACCAAATTACCACACTTGTGAAATGTAGATCAATCTCAATGATTTGAGGCCGACCAAATCGCCCAACTTATGAAAAGTATAACCCGAAGAATAAAGGTCTGCCAACTTGCTGTGTATCGCTACATCAAGTACTGTCTTTTTTAATTTTCAAATTGATTGAAAAAAATAAAGTTATTCTTAAACAAATACACCAGTTACATAATAATATATAATGTATCAGCAATTCTATTTTAAGAAATGAAGCAACATTTAATTGCAATCAGAATCAAATATTAGATTTTCTTATTAATATTACAAGTGTATTGTAATTCTAACATTACAGTGCGGGCAACTCATTTTCATAAGTGATGCAAGTTTGTAGGCCTTTATTCATCTGGATTAAACTCCTTTTTATAAGTTTGGCGAGTTGACAGACCTTTATTCATCTGTATCAAACTACTTTCATAAGTGGGGCGAGTTGGTAGGCCTAAATTCCTCAGGATTTTACTATTTTTCATAAGTGGGGCGAGTTTGCTGGTCTACATTTAGTGGGATATGACTTCTTTTTGTTAATGGGGCGAGTTGGCAGGCCTAAATTCAGCGGGAACTAACTCCTTTTCAATATTGGGGCAGCTTGATAAACAAGAGTGGGGCGAGTTTGTGGAAAGTGAGGCGAGTTGATCTGGGGAAGATCGGCATTTTGGCGAGTCGATCTGGGGCAATTTGGCTCTGGGGTAATTTGGCAGTAGGGCAAGTTGTCTTGCTTCCACCTTATAGTAATTTGACTGCCATTACTTAACATCTGGTTGCTCCTGTAAAATTTTGATGTCATAAGCATGATAAGGGGAAATGTCTCCACACCACAAATCAAAAGTATTGTTGTATGGCGTCCATACGTGTATCAAGTTTACTGTTTACATTTTAGTGTATAAATGAATGAATCGATTATTTGTAGAGTCAGCATGGTTGATATTATCAACGGTTTAAACCAAATTATAAGAGAATATAATCTTTATTTGTTTCACTAAAAAGGTCCATATATATAAATATATCAGATTGATACATACTTTAAAAAAATATAATAAAATAATTTTCATTAAAATTCATTTCAAGACATACGTATTGTACTACTAAATATAACAAATTTTGAAACTTTAAAATTTTTAACAGCAAAAAATCATCTGTAAGTAATTGACTTTTCAATAAATTTATTGTTTAAATAGTAAATATAAACTTTCTTTTGCTTAATTTGTCTTCTTGTCGCTACTTAGTTCGACTGCAGTAAGCAGGTAAGAACCAATTCAGGCAATTGTTTAAATACATCATTACCACTGATTGACCTCAGGTCAAAGTGTAACTCATTCATAAAAAGCAACTCCAGAATGGTCTATACCTTGACATATATCACTGGTTCTCCGTTAAAGCGCCCAACGTCAGAGTAAAAAATGATAAAATATAAATGGCAGCAAAAACTTGTAAATAAAGAACTTTGAACATCCTCATAGTATATTCTATCCACCATATAAATTTCAGCATGTAATATGCTACCGTTAATTTATAATGATCGAGATAGTTTAGATGAAAAAAAGTAAAAAAAAAATACATTAAACGTCATTTTATTTCCTTTGACGTCGTGATTTTCAATACCAAAAATACTACAAACTTTGAAATAATTTTCTTTTACGGTGTTTTGTTATCTTTATTAATTCACATAAACTTTAATGTGCGTTTTTCTTGTGAGTTGAAATTATGGTCTATTCAGTCATGTCTGCATTATTATATATAAGTCTTTTATTATCTCTTCAACACAAATTAAGGTGATACATCTTCATGTGCACTGTTTACGTCTGAACTAGTACGCTAAAAAATTTACTCAGCATGTCGGTCTTGTCGAAAGCAGGATAAATTTTAATATCGTATTAGCATGCTTTCGACCCGAATATGCATATAATTCGCCGCCGAATCCTCCTCCTTTTCATCATTATCATATAGTTTGCCAATCTGTGTTATCATGAATTATCATTGATGTGGTCATATTAATATCGAACAAAATATAAATTAACTGTTTCAATTTCAAAATTTACAAGAATGGCGTATAATGCATTCATCCCTTCTTTTAATTAGTTTGAATAGTTTGAATAACTAAGAATTTTCTTTTAAAGCAGAAACACAACCCTTGTACTTTTGATGGGTTACTTCCTTTGATATTCAATAATACTTTTTTTCTTTGTATCGGAAATTTGAAAAAAAAATAAATTAGGAGATTGACAAGACGTGTCTATATCTGACCAAAGGATTAAACAAATCATTTATTTGCTAATGTTATTATAATACTTGAAATTTTAGAGGAGATATGATTGATTGATTGTTGTTTTCTGAAAGTAAAGTCGCAAATATTTCATGCAGATTGATGACCGATAGAAGAATTATCAAACAATGCATAAGATGTTGCACGCGTTGTCGTTGAAAAAGAAAATTTTCAAAAAGTCCAATTAAAATAGATAGACAAAACAATGACGAGAGAGAGACGACAAAAAAAAAACCAACAGCAAAATATAAAATATAAAAATATTTTCCATAGATTTTTTAGTCATAGCAGGCAACCCTCTTAGTTGGTTAGTTGTAGCATATAAATCTCACCTACTTTAATTTTAAAAGAGACCCCAAAAAACGACCAATTAAACAGCTTTCCATGTAGATACCCTTACACTAGTACTATTATGCATCCTATTCCGCTTGAATATCAAATATTTATTTGAAATAACCCAAGATATATGTGGTGGTTTATAGAATAGAAAATAATGCACCGCCCCCACTCCACCCTTGCCAAAAAAAAAGGCTAAAGACAAATAGGCATTCAAATAAAGAATAGAAAATACTGGAGTGCTAAAATGTGAAAAAGAAATAATCGTATAAAAATTAAGAATAATGTAAAAAAAATAATACTGATTTCAGAAATAAATGATTTACAGAATAATGAAATTTTGCGTTTTCTGTTTATCAAATTTATTATTGATAATTGACAATAGACTAGTAGATCATTTGGAATGAACTGTTGAACTCTGGTCGTAGTCGGAACTGGTTCATTGAAATTAGCGATGCAAATAATAAGCATCGGTATTTTTCTCCAAAATCTCGGTCTTTCACGAGTTAACGTATCATTTCGTATCCTATTGCAGACAAAGTCAACCTTACATCCTTCTCCTGCACTGTGACAGCAATGATTACATTTTAATAAAACAGTGCGTGACAGAGGTCAGAACAAGATAACCATTGACAACAAAAAGCTCTGCAATAGTAGAAAAAAAACAAGTTATAAATTTCATGCGACCGAAGCGCTTTTTTTTTTTTTATCTTCATTATTTACGCCCAGCGCCGAATATTTGAAAGCCAATGATGTCAAAGAACATTGCCCGATGGAGTTGTAACCTTGAGTTTCTTTATAATTTCAAAATTTATAAATGGACAATTGAAGGGAATTGAAAGGAATTGCAGAATCAAAATGTCTCTTTCGCTTACATAATTCCTACGTCTTCAGTTTCATATTTTTGATATCCATAGCTCATTAAAATTTGAAACAACAATTTATTGGTCAGGGCTGGAAGACTGATGCTTGAGTACGGATGACATAGTCTTAGATTTCTTGGGCGTATAACATTTTTTTTAGTACCAATAAATGTTAAATATATTTCAATATTCTCCAAAACAATTGATTGATAGGCAATGTTTTTTTATATTTTGTTGTACAGGTGGGTAATCAAGGATAAAATCTATTTCTGGTGATCGAATTTTTATTCTATCAGATTTCAGATTTCTCTTAATGTTGGTTAACCACCGGTACTGTCTCTGTTATAAAACTGAATGTTCATCTTCTTAGTACTAGAACCTCATAGCACAAGCCAAATATGATCAAATATATCTAATGTCATCTTAACTTCTGTTTATTATCCCAGATATCGATCCAAATTATTACGAAGAAATTAAAATAGATTTTTTTCTTCACGTTTGATTTTAATCAGATATAATTCAAAATTGATAAATGGTATCATTTGTGCAGTACAGTGACATATATTAAAAAAGGGGGCTACGGGGTAGTGTCGTCATATGTATGTCGTTGATACAGACAAGAAGATCTATCATGCCAAATTGTGATACAACATATGCAGGAACTGAACACAAGAATTTTACAGAATAAACATATTTCTTACTGAACAGAGAAAAATGAACAAAAGAATTACTGAATACAGAAATGTAGACCCCCCTCCCCTAATCCAGACCGTCATATATCATTGTGACTGATAGTTTTGTTTGATCTATTTAACTGTTTTTATTTTCTAAACGAATTTTGTACAAGGTGTTGTTAATAAATATGTAACGCACAATATATACCATGCCCGCTCGGCCGACGTCGTAATTTCTTGTTAATGAAAGAAAGTAATTGAAAGCTTCTCTCCCTGTGCAATATGATATAAAACTCATTTAGGCACTACTTGCATAATTGTTAAATCGTATTAAATTCGGTATCAAATTTATATTAATAATAAAAGTTTCATATTTTGAATATTGAAAACGGGTTAAAATTATTTACTTGCACATATGGCAAAATTTGGGGTACTTTGCTAATTTGCATAGCGGCCATTTTGCCTTATCATGGCGACAGCCATTGCAATAACGTTATACATGCACCTTAAATATAAATGCCAATATGCCAATTCTTATGTCGAATCAACAATTTGTCAGCATATAATAATTAATATTGACAGAAAAATAGCAACTCTGTTACATTTAAACAACTGATTAGTAAAAATTGTTACATGGTGTCTTCTTATGTCGTCTGAATTACAATGTATGTTATTGATCTGTAAGTTATATATCCGCCATCCGTAATAATTATCTCATATGTTTATTTGGCATGCCATACTCGATAAAAGTGCGGACGTGATAGAAAGCACCCTTTACCAAAACGTCAACGGAGATTACATTCCACGGAGGTTACATTTCGTTGATTTCGTCGTTTGTTAAACATTATATGTGTATCTGAAGATAGAAGTTGTACTAAAAACATTTCGACGGCCGGTACGACCGCTATCGTTGTGCAATATGTATTAAACTTTATACAAATTAAAAATATAGATAATAAAGAAATCTAAAAATCTGAGATACAACATGCAAGTATAACAAGCTACATGTATATAACTCGAAGTCGTTGTTTTTGCTTTCTTACGGTGGGACAAAATAACGTCATAAAATGGGCGCTTTAACGGAGAACCAGTGATATGTCTCTTGTGGGACATTTAAACTGGGTATTGTTTGGTATAAGCAAAACATGTTAAATATAGGAAAAAAATCTGCAATAATAAAAATGTTTAATTGAAAATATATGTTACACAGAAAAAATTAAAAGAAGGGGCCTATGGCCCAAGTGCCTGGGTCTGTATTATTTTAATCTGCTTGGTCAGTTAATTGTAGAATATAAATCAATAAATTTCTTGATAGTGAAGTCTACATGCTGAACTTTTTAATCAGCTGTTTCGTCATTCTTCATATCAGAAAAAAATCCGACTAAAAAAACTGAAAATTGAAGGACAACATAAAATAAAAATTTAAAAAGTCGTAATGACACCAAATTGGCAGACGTGAGTGTACTTTTTTCGCCTTAGTCGATGATTTTGGTTGAACTGCTTCAGCCATTGTCACAAGATTATTTTGATTCGTTCGGATCTATATTTACATTTGTTCTTCGATAAATCTAGAAATGAGATAAACACGCGAGGGGGAGTAACTCCCACCTTCAATATTGTAGCTGTTTTAGTTTCTAGGAAGGAAAGCCGAAACGGAAACGTCTTAATGTTTAAAATCGACTCACCATAAACAGGACCTGTCAACAGTAAGCAGCTACTAAGAACGATACACACATACAAACACCAAATAGTACACATGGACGGTAAAATAGAAATATTGCAGTGCAACAAGCAGATAAGCATAATATAACGAAAAAACATTACGGTATAACATAGTCCAACTACTAACAAGAAACATGACTTGGAACAGGCACAGGCAAATGGGATCCGCATGCAAATATGGCAGTAATGTTTTTTGGTTTGTTTTTTTTTTTTTTTTTTTTTTAGATCTAAGCTCTCGCTTTTTATATGACCGAAAAAATATTGGGGTCGTATATTGGTGTCACGTTGTCATTGTCGTCAGCGTTGTTCGAAGACATTTGGTTTCCGGACAATAACTATAGTAAATGTAAATAGAAATCTATGAAATTTAAACACAAGGTTTATAACCACAATAGGAAGGTTTGGATAGATTTTGGGGGTTATAGTCCTAACAGTTTAGGAATTAGGGGCCAAAAAGGGGCCCAAATAAGCATTTTTCTAGTTTCCAGACAATAACTTGTGGAACGGTGTATGGATCTCTCTGAAATTATATCACAAGTTTCCATACCACAAAGGGATGGTTAGGATTGACTTCGGGGGGTTATGGCTCAAACCGTTTAGGAATTAGGGGCACAAAAGGGGGAAAAACAAGGGTTTCTTGGTTAATGGATAATTAAAAAAAAGTACATTGTACAATGTTATGTTTGGATTACCTCCCTTACACTGCTTTTAAATTATGTATAAAGAAATGTTGTATTGTCTTGAGGTGATAAGCTGTCAATTTATTTTTAGAAGTTACTATTTGAAAATGCTGATTGAGGAATATTAATTTTAGCCATGATTATGTATGTCATTTTCTATTTTAAGACTTTTATGATGTATTTAAATGGGTAATTATGGTTGCAAACTCCAATGGAAATTTGGATTGAGATTATGACCATATCTTGAGGGAAAGCATTTTTTTTTTTTAACTTAAAATGGTAACAAAGTTCACAGGTCTTCTTGATCATGACTAAGGGATTAATGTACTAGCACATGAATTTATGATTAACAAGAGGCTAACCGGATTTCCTGCAGAGGTCGACCTCTGAACAGTTGAGCAAGTATGGACACTACATTTAAGCTTAAAACAGCTCTGAATTTGGATTGTGATTGAATATTTGACACAGCATTGGTTTGTGACACAAAATGAATGTGGTCAAAAAACTGAAAAATTTGAAAATGGACATTTACCTATTATGGTCCAATATCCAAAATCTAAGTACATTGTTAGAATCAGCATATCAAAGAACCCAAAGAATTCAATTTTTGATGAAATCAAAGAAAAGTTTAATTTAGGATCCTTTGGACCTCATTGTGAACCAATTTGATAAAGGAACCCAAAATCCAAAGTCTCTAAATACATGGTTAGATTCAGCATTTCAAAGGACCATATAAATTCAATTTTTGTTAAAGCCAAACAAAGTTTAATTTTGGACTCTGATTTGGACCAACTTGAAATCCAATATTTAAATACAGGTTTAGATTCAGCATTTGAAAGAACCCTATATAAATTCAATTATCTTGAAATGAAACACAGTTTAATTTTATCCATATACTTTTAATTTTCTGTTCAAAGGGAAATAACTCAAAGTGAATAAATAATATAAAAAATAGTTCTCCCAAATTAGATATGATGTTATATCTGTTTTCAAATTATAATCCAAAATAGTTCTCTAAAATTAGATATGATTTAACCACTAAAACAAGAATTCAATTTTTGATGAAATTAAACAAAAGTTTAATTTAGGACCCTTTGGACCTCAATGTGGTATTATTTAATTAATAATGAAAATAAATACAGGTTTAGATTCAGCATTTCAAAGAACCCTATATATATATTCAATTTATGTTGAAATCAAACACAGTTTAATTTTGGATCCTGATTTGGATCAACTTGAAAACATGGCCCAAAATCAGAAATCTAAATATATGATTATTAATATTTGGATCAACTTGAAAACTGGGCCCAAAATCCGAAATCTAAATATATGTTTATTAATAGACAATATAAGCTTAGTTTTAAAAGGAGTTCACTTCATAAAAAATACCATATATATATAGCATTCAGAATAGTATAATTTATACAGAATAACAAACAAACCTACCACAAAATTCTTCAAACAATTTACCAAAGAAAAGAAAGAAAAAATCCAAAATGTCATTTATCATTAATACAATGTCTTTTAAAAATCTATAAAACTTATCAAAATGTTTAATAATGAACAGTAAATTTCTAACTATATTTATACAGTCCTACAGAGCACAGAGCTTATAATCATCAACACTTAGGAAACAGAAAATTTTCAAATAAATCTGTCACTCCAATTATAATTCTGTGATATTTACCACATGCTCTAATATCTGATAACAGGTGAAAATTATTTAAAAACACTTAGTGTAATCAAACTTTATATATATAATTAACCATTTCTGCTCAAAGGGAAATAACCCAATCACATAATAAATACCACTTTTGGCTACTAAAAAGGGCTTAAATTCAACAACGAGAAAAGCTGAAATTGTGAAAATTGAACTTGACCTTCATTTAGTCACAGGAAACAACATATCTAATTTTGAAAAGATTTAGTCAAATTTTTTTCATGTTAATGAACAGACACTGTTTGGCAGCCGCCCGTCGTACATCCCCAAATTAATAACCGATTTTTCCTTCGAAAATTCAGTTAAAAACTTTAAAAACAAGATAAATTGATGAGGTTGTAATTTTGTAATTAAAAACATCAGATTAGAACTGAAAATTAGATTTTAAGGTAGAAGATAGTATATGTATAAACAAGTGTTGTCAGCCAAAAATGCTCTGATTTTTCATTAAAATTTAATAACAAATGTATTATGGACATTAAAGATATACAGCTAACAATTGTACTGTCAATTAATTAATCAATTTAAATCCCGGAAGTCATGTTTTGACTTATGTGTATTACTTCGACATAAAGAATGTAATTTTAAAAATACTTTTGTTAACCTTGGGACTGTAATTTTAAATTCGAGACATCCAAAATTTCGACCCGTCTAATTTCGACTTGTCAGGAGTAGAAATACATGTATTTATATGGAACAAAGTTTGGGACCACTGGAAAATTTCGACTTACCCGAAATTTCGAAGTCAACCGAGTTCTAGACAACGAGAGTTAACTGTAGGTTCATGGTTTTTGTTAGAGAATGCTTTGTATTAAATGCATTCATGTATATTCAATTCTGTTTGTAGATGATGAAATTAGCAGATGTCACATAATAGAACTAACGAGAGAAAATAACATAATGCCATCAGTTCGCCAAAAGAAAATTGCCTTGTGGACAAGTGCAGTTTGTATTTGTATGTATGTTTTACTAAAATGTGAATTCAAAGTTGTGAAGTGGATGCAGAATGATATTTATATAAGGTACTTTTATTTTTCAACAAATCTCAGGGAAGAATGGATGAAAAACCAAGTGATGTTTTGTGGTGGAAAATTCAATGGCTATGGGAATGAGTTTGCTAGATTACATGATGTTGCAGTAAATGTTCAACAGCCGGGTGATTTTTTCCTAGAATGTCCACATAATACATATCCTGTTTATACTTTTAAGGAGATAACCAGCAAAAATCATTTGAATGATTGGATAAAATCATTAACTCAAATGAATACAAATATTGTTAGAACGCTCAGGAAAAATACAACATTTGCTGTGTTAAGGTATGAATATGCAAATTTTTTTCACCAAATTACAGACATGTATAATGTTTTTGTTGTTGCTAAATTACTGCATCTTAATCCTAGTCAGATGAATGTTTTGTTCTTTGGACGACATAATCCTGGTCACATTGATAAAACATGGGATACATTATTTGGACAGATTGAAAGAATAGAGAAGTTTAACCAGCCTGTGTTATATAAGGATCTTATTTGGGCTGTTTTAGGATATAACAGTCCAATAAACTTTTTCTCACTGGGATCACTTCCATTTGTTAATGAATTTTCTGGATATTTCCTATCTCAACATAAATCCTCATGGAAAAAATTAAACTGTGATAGTGTCTCAATATTGTTTATATGGAGGCATGACTACATTGCCCATCCAGGAAATCCCTCAGGTTTAATTAAAAGAAAGATATCAAATGAAAATGAAATTATCAAAGCGGTAGAGGATATCTTTCCGGGTCATTATGTTGCAGGTGTACAACTAGATCAACATGACATGACAGATCAGGTACAATGGATATCACAGACAGACATTTTGGTTGCAATGCACGGTGCTGGAATGACACACACATTGTTTCTACCATCTCATGCTGGTGTCCTAGAATTATATCCAAATTACTGGCCCAAAACTAACAGGCATTTTAAATCAATGGCTAAATGGAGAAAACTCCATTATTTAAATTGGCAGAATATAAATCCAACTAATGAGAATAGTCGCTTTTACACCTACATTCCTCCAACAATTGTGGTACAAAGACTTATATCATTATACTACAACATGTGTAATAGAAAGCCAGAGAACTGGAAATAAAAACATATCTCAAATTGTGATACAAAGACTTATATCATTATACTACAGCATGTGTTACAGAAATCCAGAAAACGGGAAATAAATAAAACATATCTCATTTTTTATCATGTTAATAGAACAAATTTGTTATTTTGAAATGATTTTTGTTATGCTTTACAATTAGATTTATTATTCAAAACAGTATATATTTTTTACGTATCCAACCAACCATTGTATTTCTTTGTTTATTATAAGATATTATTTGAGCATGCAGTTTTAAAATTAGTATCACATAATTTAAAATTATAAATATTGTAGACAAAATCTACTTTTGAGATGACTCTGATGATAAAAGTGTTAACTTTGTTAGCGTATATACTTTATAATATTGGTATTGCTATCTGACTTTTTGTTTACGTCAAAAATATATTTAAGAGGTTTACATGTAGGTTGATTAATGGTTATTTGCTTAACATCCTGTGGCAAGAATTTCAAGCATGCTCAGGACAAGAACTCGTGAGCAATAAATTTAACAGGAAAGGCAGCATTTAGAAGTAAAAGCAAGGATTTGTATAGTATACTATACAGATCCTTGGTAAAAGCAAATGTGGTTGGCTTAGATTAAGATTAATGTGTCTGAGTTAGGTGCTATATCTTTCTGCAGACTATTACCTTGTGAACTAGCATGTTTAATTGTTACTATGTCAGCTATTAAAAAGCATGGTATATTCACATCTCATTAACATGACTGTCATCATCTTGAATATAACATGATTAATTATCAATCAATGTATTGTGGTATTTAAGTCTTGGTCTGATTGGGGCATCTAGATTCACACTTACACTACTTTATAATTAGTTTGTTCATCTGGCTCAAATAAGTTTGAGTATATTTCTTAAAACTCTATTATGGTAAATATTTGTCATGATAAAACAATACACCAAATATAAAATCAACATCTTCAAGCATGAAGAAAAAAAGTGTGGAAAACTGATTTGCCGGACTGACGGATGGACAGACAGACAGACGGAGTGCAAACCTAAAGTCCCCTTCTACTTCGTTGGTAGTGGACTAAAAAGCTGAGTTACTTTAACCTTCATGGTTGAATGACTGTAGTATTCTATATTTGTGCTCAGGTTAAATTCTAAACAACTTAAGATGATATATCAATGATATTTTAATGATTATTTACCTTTGAAAACAGTGAAACAGATAGTAAGCAGTGTGGTCAATATGACCTGCATCTTTTATCTGAACAACTATGTGGTTTGTTTCAAGCCCACTCCTTACAAACCTATGATGATAAATATTTACAGAAACATGGCATTGCAGTCAATTCAACAGCAAAATACATGACATAGGTATGTAAATGTGGCTGTGGGGTGAACACATACTGTTTGTATAAACTATACACATGTATTTAATAAGAAAGAAGATATCTAGTAGAGAAATTAATAATAGACAGAATCTCTTTTTGGTACATGTATATAGTAATAGATATATTGCAAAGTATATACCGGTATGTCCATCAGACAGAGTTGATCTGACAATAACTTTGACCTTATTTTCATAGCTGTATGGTCAGCTGTAAGTTTTCATGAATAGGCCTGTTTCTCAGATATTATAAGCAATAACTTTAAGTTAGCTATTTCAGCGTAAGGTATAGAATGATTATTAGGTGTACATACCTTTCTGACAAGGTTCACACAAGTTTGATCTCATATTCATGGATCATAGATAAGGTTATGTTTATGTAACACCTGAAGAAAGACATTCATCTTAAAGGCTTTGGTTTCCAACATACGGTTCAATAAAAATCAGTGAAACAGACACTACATTTCAGTGTATGCACTTTTTTTTCATTCTTCCTGTGTGTTTTTCTTTCAAGACCAAGCTCTTGGTAGGTACATGTCAAAACCGAACTTGACCTGTATTTTTTGGTCCATAATAAAGTATAAATTTAAAGATCTGGTCAAGCTGTACTTTGATTATCATCCAGAAACTAAACATTTGACACACAATTATGTAAACGATGGACAGATGGACATGTGCATCATCATACAACTCCCGTCTTCAAGGCATGAGCATAAAAAAGACTACTGTGGCAATAGTTGTGTATTGAATTCTTATAATTAAAAACTTTCCTTCAAAGAACATATAAGGCTAAAATCTACCTCATTCAAACACTTCTTTTTAAAATGCATTTTTCTCCAAACCTTGATTAAGAAAAAGGATAAAAATTCATGTAACAAGGTTTTTAATTTTAAAATAGGTAATACATGTAGATCATACAGTGTTCTTTTCTATGTGTTTTACTTTCCTCTTCTCACAATTCGCTAACATTATTCTAAAACACCACAATTCCTTTTTCAGTCACAAATGCCAAATGTCACAGTTTGATCTGTTCTATTTCGTTGTTATTATAACATATCAGCTATAAGGTTGCTAGATGTAGCTCTTTGTCTCATAATGTTAAGACATCTTTACTTGATATCCTGGAAAGAATACTGTCTAGTAATTTACTAACTACTAATTCCTCATCTGGTATTTTGTAAATCTGAATTAAACAAATTAACATTCATTTTAATGAGCTTACTAGTTTGTGTCAGAATACCCCAAATTCAGAAATCATTACATGCATTTATTATTGCTATTTTTGAAGAATGGACAAAAATGTGAGATTAAATTATTAAATGCGATTTCAAGAAAATCTGCATACAGATATATGTACATTTGTAGTTGAACCTATTTTTAGCTCAATGGGGCCCAAAGGGCCCCATGTGAGCTTATGCCATCACTTGGCTTCCGTCGTCGTCTGTCGTCATCGTCTGTCGTAAACTATTTAAAAAATCTTCTCCTCTGAAACTACTGGGCCAAATACCTTCAAACTTTAACTAAATGTTCCTTAGGGTATCTAGTTTATAAATTGTATCCAAAGTTTTGATCCATTGACAAACATGGCCGCCATGGCTAAAAATAGAACATAGGGGTCAAATGCAGTTTTTGGATTATATCTCAAAAACTAAATCTTTTAGAGCAAATGTGACATGGTGTAAAATTGTTCAATTGGTCAAGATCTATCAGCTCTGAAATTTTCAGAGGAATCGAAAAACCCATTGTTGGGTTGCTGCCACCGAATTGGTAGTTTTAACAAAATTTTGCAGTTTTTTGTTATTATTTTGAATATTATTATAGATATATATAAACTGTAAGCAGCAATAATGTTCAGCAAAGTAAGATCTACAAAAAAGTTAATTTGACCATAATTGTCAATTGGCCCCTTAATGAGTTATTGCCCTTTAAAGACAATTTTACACAATTTGTTCATCAAGTTTGCTAACATTTAAAAATCTTCTCCTCTGAAACTACTGGGCCAATTACCTTCAAACTTAAACTAAATGTTCCTTAGGGTATCTTGTTTATAAATTGTATCCGAAGTTTGTATCCATCGACAAACATGGCCGCCATGGCTAAAAATAGAACATAAGGGTCAAATGCAGTTTTTGGCTTATATCTCAAAAACTAAATCTTTTAGAGAAAATGTGACATTGGGTAAAATTGTTTAATTGGTCAAGATCTATCGACCCTGAAATTATCAGACGAATTGAACAACCCATTGTTGGGTTGCTGCCACTGAATTGGTAGTTTTAACAAAATTTTGCAGTTTTTTGTTATTATTTTGAATATTACTATAGATATATGTAAACTGTAAGCAGCAATAATGTTCAGCAAAGTAAGATCTATTAAAAAGTTAATTATGACCAAAATTGTCAATTGACCCCTTAAGGAGTTATTGCCCTTTAAAGACAATTTTACACAATTTGTTCATCAAGTTTGCTAACATTTAAAAATCTTCTCCTCTGAAATACAGGTGAGCGATTCAGGCTCTTGAGAGCCTCTTGTTATAACAAATTCATACACCATGCAATATGTAATTTTAAATAATATAAATGGGGAATGTGTCAATGGGACACAGATGATGCCCCAGCTTGCATATCATATAAAATTATAAAGGGACATAACTGAAGAACGGTAAAAGTGACGCTACCCAAATTTGTACTTGATCTGAGTTTTGTGGTAATAAGTATTGTGTATAAGTTTAATAACATTTGGTTAAGGCAAACTTAAGTTAGAGAACAGAAACAAAAAAATCAGCATTTTTTCTATTAGTAAAGGGGCATAACTCTAGAACGGTTTAAGTGACACAACCAAAATTCACACTTGATCTGTATTTTGTGGTAATAAGCATTGTGTATAAGTTTAATAACATTTGGTTGAGGCAAACTAAAGTTAAGAGAACTGAAACGAAAATTCAGCAATTTTTCCATTTATAAAGGGGCATAACTCTAGAACGGTTAAAAGTGATGCCACCAAAATTGAAACTTGATCTGTGTTTTGTGGTAATAAGCATTTTACATAATTTCATAACATTTGTTTGGGGCAAACTAAAGTTAGAGATTGGAAACCAACTTTGGGACGTACGTACGGACGGACGGACAGACGGACGTACAGACGGACAAGGGTAAAACTAAATGCCCCCTCCGCTACAGTAGGGGCATAAAAAAAAAATGTTTTCTTGACAAGTATGGTTATTCAAATACACATCATATTGTAACTTAAATGTCAAAGTATAACATATCACCAATACATTGCATGACATTGACTGGATAGGATCTGCATGACAATGACTTGATAGGATCTAAAAAATAAACTGCTTCGCTGAGCGCAGCTGGATACGCCCGCAGAGGTCCAACCCTGAACAGTTGGGGCAAAAATGGACACAATATTCAAACTTGATACAGGTCTGAATTTGGATTGTAATTAAATATTTGACATATTACAGGTTTCTGAATAAATGTAGTCAAAGAACTTGAAATTGGTTATATGAATTGAATTTATATTCAATTAAAGATTTCTTGCTGTTGTGCAATACACTGTGCTGTTGCGCAATACTTAGTAAATCTGTTGTCAGACTATAAACAAATAAAGTTCAATTAATTCTCAATGTCATATTAGAAAATTATGAAAATCAAAAGGAGCTTACATCAATAAATATAAACAATTCACCAAAGTTTCATGGGAATTGCTGACAGCATTTTTGAGTTATTGTCAGAAAACTGGAAAATCCCCCTTTTTTAATGAATAAAACCCCATAACTCAGAAATGTAAAATGTAAAATTTATAAAATTCTAAAGGGAGCTTACATCAATAGATATAAACAATTCACCAAAGTTTCATAAGAACTGCTGAAAGCATTTTTGAGTATTTGTCCGAAAACTGGAAAATCCCCCTTTTTTTTAATAAAACCCTGCAACTCGGAAACGTAAAATCTAAAATTTATAAAAATCGGAAGGGAGCTCATGTCAATAGATATAAACAATTCACCACAATTTTTTTGCAAGTTGGTGAAAGTATTCTTGAGTTATTGTCCGAAAATTGGAAAATCCCCCTTTTTTTAATGAATAAAACCCCATAACTCTGAAACATAAAATCTAAAATTTATAAAAAACGAAAGGGAGCTCACGTCAATAGATATAAACAATTCACCAAAGTTTTATGCAAATTGGTTAAAGTATTTTTGAGTTAATGTCCGACATGTTGACGACGGACGGACGGACGGACAGACGGACGGACAGACAGACGGACAACGGTATACCATAATACGTCCCGTAAACGGGCGTATAATGATCACTTCACTGCACTATTTTGTTTGAACTATCAAAGGTAGTGATAAACCTTGGAAAATATAGATAACTACCGGTAGTAAGAACCATAGGGTTTTGATTGCATTTCATGCAATCTTAACCCAAAAACCTTGCAATAACTTCCGAATTTACAGTAAAAGAAATGGTGAAAAACTGTTTTAAAATACTGGAATAGGCATGTGTTTATCTGAAGTCAAAAACCTCTTCAGTGGTTGTCTTTAGCTACACCTTTTTTTTAGGAAATTGATTGTTGATGGCTGATAACTGTTTAAGGCGCACTAGCTACGAGATATAAAACTAGAGGCTCTCAAGAGCCTGTGTCGCTCACCTGTATTTACTGATGCTTTGGAAATCATGTAAAATAAGGTTAAAATCATAATTAAGAGTATTAGATATTAGATATTATAATGAAATCTAAAATGATAACAAAAAACTGCAAAATTTTTGTAAAATTACTAACTCGGGGGCAGCAACCCAACAACGGGCTGTTGGATTCGTCTGAAAATTTCAGGGCAGATAAATCTAAATCTGATGAACATTTTTGCCACCTGTCAGATTTGCTCTAAATGCTTTAGTTTCAGAGATAAAAACCAAAAACTGCATTTCACCCCTATGTTCTATTTTTAACCAAGTTGGCCATGATGGTTGGAAGGCGGGGTCATCGGACAAATTTTTTAAACAAGATACCCTAATAATGATTATGGCCAAGTATGGTTAAATTTGTCTCAGTAGTTTCAGAGAAGAAGATTTTAGTAAAAGATTACAAAAATTTACAAAAAATTGACTATTAAGGGCAATAACTCCTAAAGGGGTCGACTGACAATTTTGGTCATGACAACTTATATGTAGATCTTACTTTGCTGAACATTATTGCTGTTTACAGTTTATCTCTATCTATAATAATATTCAAGATAATAACCAAAAACTGCAAAATTTCCTTAAAATTACCAGTTCAGGGGCAGCAACCCAACAACAGGTTGTCAGATTTGTCTGAAAATTTCAGGGCAGATAGATATATGAATTGTGTGCATGTAAATGTACTGATTGATGTTTTAGTCTTAGATGCATGATTTTATTTTATTAGTTGTTATTTGCTTTGAATTAGCTGTCAGTAACTGCAGGTACTCTCAGATCTGTACTTAGTGTCTTTTTGTTGTGGGGATGTATAAGTACCCTGCATTATTTTTTTAGACTGGAGGTACTTTATAGATTATGGGGGTACCAAACCCAGTCGGCGAGGGGTCTGGATTTAAAGGGTTTTGAGACTTAATTTTTTACTTAAAAGTATAGGATTAAGTCTGTAATATTTGCTTCAATTTTGGGTATATTTATCATTGAATTGGGTTTTTTTTCTAGAGTAATCATCTGATAATAAAACATTGCTTATTGTCTAATCAATTATAACATATGTATGACCTATAATGCTATATGCAGGGGTATCATGTTGTTAACATGGTTTTTTTTTTTATATTTTTATTAAATGTTTTGCATTTGTTCAATTTTGTGAATATAAAATGAAATTCCATAACATGGTATATTATGTTGATTAAAAAAAATTGATAATAAAACTTGTTGTTTATTGCCTTGTTATAATTATAACTGTGTCAATTGTTTGTGTGAGAGTCATATATTGGGAATCTGAAGGCTGTACTATGACCTATAGTTGTTTATGTCTGTGTCATTTGGTCTCTTGTGGGGAGTTGTCTCATTGGCAATCACACTTTATATGAAATGTACGTCTGACAGGACAACCAAAAAGTTGAATTATTTTGTACTATAAGCATGATAATAGAATTGTAGGAGTGAAATTTCATGGATATTTTGGTATATTAGATCAGAATCAACTTTACCCTAACCACAAAGATGCATACTATAAGATCATGGTGACCAAAACTCTTCTTCATAGCATATGATTACTGTGTTATTACTGAAACTTGGTTATAAATGTTTCTCTCCACCTATTGCAGTTAATTCAAAATTCTGACCCAATTGTAATTTGTTTTATCAAACCAAACTGTTCAAGTGGTCAGTAATTTTAACCAATTGCAAAACACTTACAACCAATTAACTGTAATAGTAGGTATATTTACCTTCTGTACTAGCTTTGTTTCTGTCAAATGTATAACATCTTGCACATCACTTAATTCCCCTTTAACACATTTACATATTGCTGACATGGTGCTGCCATCTATGTCATCTGCAACAACTACCATAACACTAGTTTCATTATCAGCTAAGCCAAACTTCCGAAAAGAATCGGATATCTGAAAAAAATAAGGCATAATTGAATGAAATCAACTTTAACACATGAAATTGTATTTAGATTCTTATTATCACAAAAAAGACATGGGGAGGTAGGATTTTGTATTTATAAGTTGTTGTCTATTTTCACCCACATTCTTGACATTGTTAGCAATTTACCAAAAAGATTTAAAATGGAAAATAAAATATTGATTCAAATTTTGAGAGATGGCATTACATGTAAATGTAAAATGTAATAAAATGCTCCGCAGGGCGCAGCTTGATACGACCGCAGAGGTCGAACCCTGAACAGTTGGGGGAAGTATGGACACAACATTCAAGCTTGATACAGCTTTGGATTTGGATTGTGATTAAATATTTGACACAGCATAGGTTTCTAACACAGATTGAATGTGGTCTAAGAACTTAAAAATTTTAAATTGGACATTCACCTATTATGGTCCAATATCCAAAATCTAAATACATGGTTAGATTCAGCATATCAAAGAACCCCAAGAATTCAATTTTTGATGAAATCAAACAAACTTTAATTTTGGACCCTTTGGACTTAATGTAGACCAATTTGAAAACAGAACCAAAAATTAAGAATCTAAATACACGGTTAGATTCGGCATATCAAAGAACCCCAATAATTCAATTTTTGATGAAATCAAACAAAGTTTAATTTTGGACCCTTTTGACCTCAATGTGGACCAACTTGAAAACTGGGCCCATAATCAAAAATCTAAATACATGTTTAGATTCAGCATATCAAAGAACCCTAAGAATTCAATTTTTGTTAAAATCAAACTAAGTTTAATTTTGGACCCTTTGGACCTTAATGTAGACCAATTTGAAAACGGAACCAAAATTTAAGAATCTAAATACACAGTTAGATTCGGCATATCAAACAACCCCAATAATTCAATTTTTGATGAAATCAAACAAAGTTTAATTTTGGACCCTTTGGACCTCAATGTGGACCAATTTAAAAACGGGGCCCAAAATCCAAAAACTAAATACACGGTTAGATTCAGCATATTAAAGAACCCCATGAAATCAAGAATAAAACCCCATTGAAATTGGTCAAGAAATAAGCAATTTATAGGAAGTATCTTCTTTTGCACAATCCTGTGCTATTAAATATTTCTTGCTATTGCGCAATACTGTACAATTGACAATTTCTTGCTATTGCGCAATATTGTGCTATTGGATATTTCTTGCTATTGCGCAATAGAAGATTTCTTGCTATTGCGCAATACTGTGCAATTGAAGATTTCTTGCTATTGTGCAATACTGTGCAATTGAAAATTTCTTGCTATTGCACAATACTTATTATATAATAATTTACACATCCTGTTTGGTGTGTATCTCCTACCATATCATTATTATTTGATTTTAAATATAAATCAGAAATAACCAACTTAAAATGGAAAATTTTAAAAGAAACAAAAAAGGAAAAAAAGAAAAAAAAGGAAAAAAAAATAAATCCCCCCCCCAAAATTTTTTGAACCCCCATTATGATTCATCACCCCCAAACTCAATCCCAGCCTTCCCTTTGTGGTATGGTACCTTGCAGTACAATTTCAGAGAGATCCATACACTTGAACACAAGTTATTGTCTGGAAACTAGAAAAAAATGTGTTTTTTGGCCCCTTTTTGGCCCCAAATTCCTAAACGTTTAGGGCAATTACCCCCAAACTCAAACCCAGCTTTCCCTTTGTGATATGGAACCTTGTAGTACAATTTCAGAAAGATCCATACACTTACACACAAGTTATTGTCATGAAACTAGAAAAATGCTTGTTTTTTGCCCCTTTTTTGGCCCCTAATTCCTAAAATTTGGAGGCAATTACCCCCAAAATCAATCCCAGCATTCCTTTAGTGATATGGAACCTTGTGGTACAATGTCAGAGAGATCCATACACTAACACACAAGTTATGTCTGGAAGTTACAAAAATGCTTATTTTTGGCCCCTTTTTGGCCCCTAATTCCTTTACTGTTATTACCATAACCCCCAAAATTAATCCCAACCTTCCTTTTGTGGTATTGAACCTTGTGGTAAAATTTCATAAAGATCCATTCACTTAAACTAAAGTTAGAGTGCGAAAACCAATGTGTCTTCGGACGACGCCGACGACGACGCCGGACGACGACGACGCCAACGTCATACCAATATACGACCACAAAAATTTTTTTGCGGTCGTATAAAAAAAATGAGCAGGTTTGTGTGGATATTTATTTCGAAATATCTTTAAACAAACCCTACACTGTTATTCATAAAAATATAACAATAATTAACCAAAAATATTGAACAGTACAACAAACCATACCAACCACCAACAATTTTTAAGAATGCTATTATTATAAACAAGAGAAAAACACTCTAAAAAGTCTTGCCTCCTTTACTGACTATTGATTTTATGTTGAAAGTCTTAAAGATAAAGGCTTTACTACAAGTATCGCATAAACTTGACATTTTTAAAAGATCCATGACAATGAGGTCAAGGTCAGATAAAAACAGACATGTGTACCTTACACCTTACAATTATTCCATACACCAAATATGATCAAATATAGTTCACCTAATGCTTATGGTATATGAAAAAAAGACCAAAACCCAAAAACTTAACATTGACCAATGAACCATGAAAGACCATGAAATGAGGTCAAGATCAGATGATAACTGCCAGACAGACATGTACACCTTACAATTATTCCAGACACCAAATATAGTTGACCTATTGTTATTAGTATTTAAAAACAGACCAAAACACAAAAACTTAACATTGACCAATGAACCATGAAATGAGGTTAAGATCAGATGATACCTGCCAGACAGACATGTACACCTTACAATTATTCCATACACCAAATATACTAGTAGTTGACCTATTGTTATTAGTATTTAAAAAAAAGACTCAGAAATTAACCAAACAAAATACTGGGTTTGGTGTTTAGGGCACAAATTTTGTACTCCAAGTACTGAGTAAAGTTTTACGACCAAGGGCCCAGATCTTCAACCTTTTGAAATATAAAGCTTTATACAAATATTTTACATTGCCGCCGCTGGATAGTAATCCCTATGTCTCGCATACTGCGACAAATACTGAGACTTTCATCGCAAGCAAGATAAAAATGGATGTACAAACTAAGACAAACAGCATCCACTACACATGGTCAAGACACAAAATGTGATAGGGGTTTGTGCACACACACACCCTTTTTTTTGTGATATATATATAATAATAAGGAGTTGTGTTGTGAGATAAAAAAATGTAAAACAATTCAATAGAGAAACTGCCTGATTTATTCCAAAAGAATAAACAAAAAATAATTATGGCAGACAGCAACCAAGGACAACAGACCAAATATCTTAAAAGTTAAACCCACACCATAAAACCTGCAGTCCAGCTGCCAGCAGCATGGCCACTTGATCAAGGAAATAAACTAAATTTTTCTTCGCATCTTTCTCATGAACTACCGGTACATCATAAGGATTTCTGAAATTTGGTTTCAGGGTTTATATAAGTCAGCTATACCGTGTGATGCGTTTTCAGATTCATCACTCAACAACTTCCTGTTTACCGAACACTTACATATTTTTACACTATTAAAATTATCCAGTTGCGGCGGGGGTATCATCAGTGAGCAGTAGCTCGCAGTTTTACTAGTTATCTCTCTATTTTCTTCAGTTTTTGCCCAAAACACAAAAAAAAGTTTAAAAAAATATCAATTAAGGCAATCACTCCTATAAAGAGTAAACCAAAAATTACGGAAAATTTTACTTATTTGTAGATCTTGTCTTGCTGATCATTTTTGTTATTTAAAGTGTCTATCTATCTTTTATAGTTTTCAAGATAGCAGTCAAAAACGTAAAATATTGGTAAAAATCGTCATTAAAGTTCAAGGAGTTGACTGATGAATTCGGCCATTTAATTTATATGTACATCAAGTCTTGCTGATCATTTTTTTCTAATTTAAGTTTCTATCTATCTCTATAGTCTTTCAGATATAAGACAAAAACGCAAAAAAAAATTATGGTAAAGATCATTATCAAAGGGCATTAACTCCAATAAGGGGTAGTCAGACGATTTCAAGATTGTTAACTTATTTGATTATCTTGTCTTGCTGATCACTTTTGCTTATTTAAGTTTCTATCTATCTATAATAGTTTTTCAGATATAAGGCAAATATGCAAAAAAATGATAAAAATCGGCATTAACTCCAATTAGAAGTCGTCTTACGATTTTAACCATGTGGACTTATTTATAGATCTTGTCTTGATAATCATTTTTGGTTTATAAAGTTTCTCTCTATCAATTATATTTTTTTCAGATATTAGGCAAACATGAAATAAAATGCTTCGCTGGGGCGCAGCTTGATACGACCGCAGAGGTCGAACCCTGAACAGTTGGGGCAAGTATGGACACAAAATTCAAGCTTGATACAGCTATGACTTTGGATTGTCATTAAATATTTGACACAGCATAGGTTTCTGACACAGGATGAATGTGATGTAAGAACTGGAAAAAATTTAATTTACCTATTATGGTGGAATATCCATAAACTAAATTGTTTGTTAATTTCAATATATCAAAGAATATGTAGAATTCAATGTTTGATGTAATGTAATAAAGTTGAAATTTGGACCGTTTTTGTTCAATGTGGACCAATTTGGTAACATGTATAAATAATCAAAAATCTAAATACATGGGAGCCCATTTAAATACATCATAAAGGTATTAAAATAGAAAGTGACATCATAGTCATGGCTAAAAATAAAAAAAATCCTTAATCAGCAACATTTAAAGTAATATCTAAAAATAAAATTCCTTTGTAACCATAAAAGCCCATTTAAATACATCATGAAGATATTAAAATAGAAAATGACATCATAGTCATGGCTAAACATAGCAAAAAACGCTTAATCAGCATCATTTAACAGTAATATCTAAAAATGGAAATTACATCATAAAGGTATTAAAATAGAAAATGACATCATAGTCATGGCTAAAAATAAACAAAATCCTTAATCAGCATCAGCAACATTTTATAGTAATATCTAAAAATAAAATTCCTTTGTAACCATAAAAGCCCATTTAAATACATCATAACAGATATTAAAATAGAAAATGACATCATAGTCATGGCTAAACATAGCAAAAACCTTAATCAGCATCATTTAACAGTAATATCTAAAAATAAAAATTTCTTTGCAACCATAAAAGTAAAATAGAAAATGACATCATAATCATAGCTAAAAATAAACAAAAATTTTTTTTATTGGCAAATTTTAAATGGAGTTTATTATACTAAAACAATAAATTTGCAACCATAAACATGATAAAACCCCATTTAAACACATCATAAAAGTATTAAATAATTCAACTACATCATAAGGCTATAAAAATAGAAAATGACTTCATAGTCAAGGCTAAAGGTAAACAAAAAACCTTCATCAGCAAAATTTTATATTGGCAAATTTCCAATGAAGTTTATTACACTAAAATTGTTGGCAAATTTCCAATGCATTTATTAACAATAAAGTTATTGGCAAATTTCCAATTTACATAATTTAAAAGCAGTGTAGATGAGATATTTAAATGAGTTTGAATTACCAACCTTACACTGCTTTTAAATAATGTTCTTTACTCAATTATTTGTCTATTAAAATGGAAACCCTTGTTTTTTAACCTTTTTTCCCCTTATTCCTTAAACATTAGAGCCATAACCACCACAACCCCCCCCCCCAAAGCCAATTATTACTTTCCAATGTAACTTAAATTTCCAATATACATAATTTTAAATTTCAATTCCTCATGATATATAACCGTATCATTATTATTTTCTTTCATATATAAATCTGAAACAACCATCTTTAAATGGAAAATTTTAAAGAAAAAAAAAGGAAAAAAAAAAATCCTACCTCCCACACATTTTTTCAACCCCCTTTTGATTCATCATCCCCCACCTCAATCACAACCTTCAATTTGTGGTATGGTACATTGCAATACAATTTCACAGAGATCCATACACTTGAACACAAGTTTTTGTTGCAAACTAAAAAAATCCTTATTTTTGACCAATATTTGGCCCCTTATTCATAAATGTTTGAGCAATTAACCCCAAAACTCAATTCCTACTTTCTCTTCGTGATAAAAAATAACTAACTTAAAATGCAAATTTTAAACAAAAAAAAAAGGAAAAAAAAAAATTACCCCTTTTTTGACCCCCGCCCCCCTTATGATTCATCACCCCCACCCCCCTTTCCCCCCAAACCAAGCTCAATAACAGCCTTGCCTTTGTGGTATGGTACCTTGTAATACAATTTTAGAGAGATCCATACACTTGAACACAAGTTATTGTCTAGAAACTAAAAAATGCTTATTTTAAACCCCTTTTTAGGCCCCTTATTACTAAACGTTTTGGGCAATTACCACAACACTCAATTCCAGCTTTCCCTTTGTGAAATGGAACCTTGTAGTAAAATTTCAGAAAGATCCATACACTTACACACAAGTTATTGTCATGAAACTAGAAAAATGCTTGTTTTTTGCCCCCTTTTGGCCCCTTATTCCTAAAAATTTTGAGGCAATTAACCCCAAAATCAATCCCAGCATTGACCCTTTGTGATATGGAATCTTGTGGTACAATGTCAAAGAGATCCATATGCTAACACACAAGTTATGTCTGGAAGTTACAAAAATGCTTATTTTCGGCCCCTTTTTGGCCCCTAATTCCTTAACTGTTGGTACCATAACCCCCAAAATCAATCCCCACCTTCCTATTGTGGTATTGAACCTTATGGTAAAATTTCATAGAGATCCATTCACTTAAACTAAAGTTAGAGTGCGAAAACCATTGTGTATTCGGACGACGACGACGACGCCAACGTCATACCAATATACGACCTCAAAATTTTTTTGCGGTCGTATAAAAATTGGTAAAATTTGTCATTTATCTGACAGTTTTGAAGTAGAAAAACAATATGTAGATCTCATCATTCTGAACATTTTTGCCCCTGACAGATTTTCTCCATTCATATCTGTTTTCAAGATAATAGACCAAACATGCATTTTACCCCTATGTTCTATTTTTAGCCATGTCAGTCATGTTGGTTGGCAGGCAGTGTCATCGGACACATTTTTTAAACTAGATACCCTAATGATGATTGTGGCCCAGTAGTTTCAGAGGAGAAGATTTTTGTAAAAGTTAATGACGACAGCCAGTTGAGCTAAAATAACACATAATTTGGAAAGTTGGAACAATTAGCTCTGGCTTCTAAAGTAAGCTAGCTAAGAAGAAATAGCTATGAGCTATTGGTTAAATATTGTCATTCAAGATGGAAAAAAAACAACACAAACAACACTCCCAACAGGTTTCATGAAGTCTCTTTATAAAATCTAATTGAAATCTGCAGTATTTGTGAGAGGCCAGTATGTATATATACATTTTACATTTTGTTCATGAATTTTCTATTTCTAATTTTTGTTTGTTTTGGAAAACATTAAAATAAAAACATCTTTATAAAATTTGTATGTGAAATTGATTGAATAATTCATGTAATTGTCTCAATACAAATTCTTATTATTATTATTGTGTTGTTTTTTTTGTACCAGTATAGTATGTGTGAAAACTTTTACAGATGAACACAAGCTTTAAACAGCAAAAATAATCAGCAATTTATGACCAAGAAAAAGCAACAATTGACTCCAAATATGAGTTATTAGTCTGTAAATGACATTTTTTACCTCACTGCTGAACAACTTTAGTGTTTTGCCTATTATCTTGTAAACTATATTATTGCAGATCAATAATAAAATGCTTCGCTGAGCGCAGCCTGATACGACTGCAGAGGTCAAACCCTGAACAGTTGGGGCAAGTTTGGACACAATATTCAAGCTTGATACTGTCTGAATTTGGATTGTGATCAAATTGTTGACATAATATAAGTTTCTGACACAAAATAAATGTGGTCGAAGATCTTAAAAATTGGAAATGGGACATTTAATTTACCTAGAATGGTCTGATATCCAAAATCTAACAACATGGTTAGATTCAGCATATAAAAATACACCAATAATTTAATTTTAGTTGAAATCAAACAAAGTTTAGTTTTGGACCCTTCAAACCTTAATATGAACTCATTTGAAAACAGGGCCCAAAATAAAAATCTAAATGCACAATAAGATACAGCAAATCATACAGCCGCAATAATTAAGTTTTTGATGAAATCAAACAAAGTTTTATTTTGGACCCTTTCGACCTCAATGTCAAATGAATGTAGACCAATTTAAAAATGGGGCCCAATCAAGGCTTCCAAAACGGTCATATATTCCGGACATTTGTATAATGTCCGGTAAAAGTCCGGCTGGGCAAAGCATGAAACAGTCATCTACTTTTTAGTTTTCAAGGTTTTCTCAAGAGACGGTCATTTTAACATAATTCGCGATCTTTTTGACCCAACCTTTTGCCTTTAACAGCCACACATTTCCGGTCATAAAAGTGACATGATCATTAAGTACTATCAAAACAACCCCTACTTTAATACCTTCTCATTTTAATCAAGGCTAATTAGTTGTCGAACAGCTGAAGTTTACCTGTTCAGGTGACAGGTAAACTATTTTGAACCGGACATTGATCGGTCTATTCAAAGTTATTTCTTACATTTCAGCGGTTTGCATCTAATTAATTTAGTCAAAAAGATTTAAATTATCAGAAATACGTTTACAAATATCCAAAAAAATTGTACAAGGTTAGAACCCCCAAAAATTAAAGACTTAATTAATCCCATCAAAATTGGTTAAAACATTTGTATTTGTTTTCAATTGAAGATTTCTTGCTATTGCCCATTACTGTGCAATTGAAGATTTCTTGCTATTGTGCAATACTGTGTTATTGCCCAATACTGTGCAATTGAAGATTTCTTGCTATTGCACAATACTGTGCAATTGAAGATTTCTTGCGATTGTGCAATACTGTGCAGTTGAAGATTTCTTGCTATTGCACAATAGTGTGCAATTGAAGATTTTTTGCTATTGCGCAATACTGTGATATTGCACAATACTGTGCTATTGCGCAATACTGTGCAATTGAAGATTTCCAAAATTTTGAAGAAAAAAAATGAACTCCCCCCCCCCCCCCCCCCACCCAAAAAAAAATTGGAAAAAAAAAATCCCCCCAACTTTTTGAACCCCCCACCCCCCTTTTGGAGTAATTACCCCCAAACTCAATTCCACCCTTCCCTTTATGGTATGTAACCTTATAGTACAATTTTAGAGAGATCCATACACTTAAACACAAGGTATTGTCTGGAAACTAGAAAAATGCTTGTTTTGGCCCCATTTTTGGCCCTAATTCCTGAACGTTTGGGGCAATTAACCCTAAACTCAATCCCAGCCTTCCCTTTGTGATATGGAACCTTGTGGTACAATTTCAGACAGATCCATACACTTACACACAAATTATTGTCCAGAAACTACAAAAATGTTTGTTTTTTTTGCCCCTTTTTGGCCCCTAATTCCTAAACTGATACCATCACCCCCAAAATCAATCCCAACCTTTCTTTTGTGGTATTGAACCTTCTGGTAAAAATTCATAGAGATCCATTCACTTAATCTAAAGTTATTGTCTGGAAACCATATGTGTCTTTGGAGGACGACGCTGACACCATAGCATTATAAGACCCAAAAAATTCTGTGCGGTCGTATAAAAACTGTAAACAGCAAATTGATCATCAAGACAAGATATATAAAATTACATTTAAAAGTCTGATTGATTGGAAGATTTTGTAAATAATATTTTCTAATCAATTTTTACATAAATATCAATATGGCATATTTTTTCCAGGTAAGTCTCTACTTTTATCTTTATAGTTTATGGTTACATGCTTACATTTTTAGTTGGTGATAGACAAAATAAGATTTCTGAATGAACATTCTTTGTTATCATCTTATTCTGTCTTTTCAAATGAATGGCTCTGTTGGCTGCTACAATTACTTGGAAAGGATCACAAATCTACAAAATAAAATCAAGCTTTTTTATACTATAATTATATTGTCTCTGCATTATACTAATTCAATATTTCAGTCAAGATATAGAATTTTTTATAGATGTCATGATAGCTCTTGAAAAGAGTTACTTTTATTCACATTGAATCCCTGCTTTAAAGTTGTACTTGAAAGCCAAATGTTTATTCTGATTAATATACTTGGTTTTCTAGTAATGTGAATTTTATATCCCTAATCATGCTAATGGTCCTCAAAGTGAGAAAAATAATTATGTTTTGTATTAAAACAAAAATTTTCTGCCATGATATAGGACATATTACTTTTTCAAATAAGTTGACAGAACCATATGGACATGTGGAGGAAAATTTCCTTCTGGTTTTTTTCTACTTTCAGGATGACTTTGACAGAGAGGTTTTTAGAATGAAGGTCAATGTGTATGCTGTATTTTTAATTTACCTTGAGTGAAGAATTTTTGGAAACATTGTCAAACTGCATTTTCTGACGTCATACCTGTCATTTAATATGACGAAGTACTATTATTCATTTAAATTTAAGGAATCCTATAATATATTTTATATGAGTATTCAAAGTTGAAATTATATAAGTATTCTTTATCTTAATTGGAAAACATTTTTGGTCATATTCTAACGGAATCCATGTCAACTCGCCCCATTGTCAAATTGCATCAGACCAACTCACCCCAACTTTCTACCAACTCGCCCCACTTTTCACCAACTCATCCCATTTACGAAAAGGGTTTCAATCCTAATGGATCTAGGCCTGCAAATTCTCCCCACTCATGAAAAAGAGTTAAATCCAGCTTAATTTGGGCCCACTTATAAAATGTAGATTATAGTTTTATAGTTTAATCCTGATTATTTTAGGCCTACCATCTCGTCCCCCTATTGAAAAGTAGTTTAATCCTGGTGAATAAGGGTCTGGCAACTCACACCACTTATGAAAAAAGAATTGAAGTCCGCTGAATTAATGCCTACCAAATCACCCCACCATTGAAAAGTAGTTTATTCCCGGTGAATAAAGATCTGCCAAACGGCCCCACTTATCAAATGTAGTTTAAATCCTGATGATTTTATGCTTCCCAACTCACCCCAATATTGACATTCATGTTCAATACACAATGTAAAAACAATATTGTCGACATCTCGATATTTACAATGTTAACACGATATCATGTCAACAGTGAACAGTCAACATCATTAACACTGTAAGAACTCTTATATTCTGTTAACATCGTTGACATTGTTAACAATGCAATGTATACAATGAAGTATTGTAACAGGTCTTATATACTGTTTACATTGTTAACATCGCCATATATACAATGTGTTATCAATATCATAAAATTGAGAATGGAAATGGGGAATTTGTCAAAGAGACAACAACCCGACCAAAGAGCAGACAACAGCCGAAGGCCACCAATGGGGCTTCAACGCAGCAAGAAAATCCTGCACCCGGAGGTTGTCCTCAGATGGCCCCTAAATAAAATTGTGTACTAGTTCAGTGAAAATGGAGGTCACACTAAACTCCAAAACATATAAATGAACTAAAATTAAAAAACATACAAGACTAACAAAGGCCAGAGGCTCCTGACTTGGGATAGGCGCAAAAATGCAGCGGGGTTAAACATGATCTGTGAGATCTCAACCCTCCCCCTATACCTCTAGCCAATGTAGAATAAAGAAACACATAGCAATATGCACAGTAAAACTCAGTTTAAAAGAAGTCTGAGTCCGATGTCAGAATAGGTAACAAAAGAAACTAGGCAAAATGACAATGATACATATATGAACAAAGGACTACTAGCAGTTACTAACATGCCAGCTCCAGACCTCAATTAAACTGATTGAAAGATTATGTCTTCATCATATGAAAATCAAGTACAATCCCTCCCGTTAGAAGTTTAGTATCATACCATCATAAAATATATGAGAAGAACATAACCCATATCATGCCAACAACTGGTTTTAGAATAAATGTGTTCATTTCCGATGCAAAGACCCTATGAGTGAATCAATATTAATACCAAAATATGCAATCCTTAATGACTTGACAACAGTATTGTAACTATATCCTTTCCGAATAAGTCTGTTTAAAGGTTTGGTTAGCTATTGAGGTGAATGCCGACATTTTTGTGCTTTGTAAAGAATATTACCATAAAATATTGGATGTGAAATACCTGAACGTATAAGATGTCTGCATGTTGATTTATATTTACGAATGATGTCCTTGTACCGATGATAAAATTTAGTAAATGTTTTGACTAGTTTGTGATATTGAAAACCCTGGTGTAATAATTTTTCAGTAATACAGAGATTTCTTTCGTTGAAATCAAATACATTGTTACATACACGAGCGAAACCGAACAAGTTGAGATATATAAACACCATAAGATGGCGACAAGGGAACGTCACCATCTAAAAATGGATAATTAACAATAGGAAATGAAAAATCATCTCTTTTATCATAAATTTTGGTATTAAGCTTCCCGTTAAAGATAAAGATATCAAGATCCAGGAAAGGGCAGTGTTCATTGTTAGTATTAGCAATGTTTACATTGAAGTGTTCACTATATTGTGTCCACATCATTTATATTGTATGAACTCTTACTGTTTTCATCGTTCACTTAGTAATACAAAATGTATTTACAATGTATTAATGATATCGTGTTTAGATCGTTTACATTTATGACTAATCATAGGAGTTATTGCCAATTAAAGGCAACTTTCCTTTTTTCCTTTTTCAATTTTTGCTTATCAAACAATTAAATCAAATTAAACGTTGAAAACAGAAAAGTATAGACTATGTATACAATAAAATTTGTAAGGGGTTCCGCAGAACCCTGTGTCTCGCCTATGATTGCTGCTGTCTGTGTAATAGTGTAATGTTGACTAAAAAATTGAATTCATTTATCAGTAAAATACAGAATGTCAAAAAATATTCCAACTTTTTCTTTAGATGCTATTTCACAGCCTTGAAGATTAGCTTCTGTCCAAGTTTCATAACAATCCATGAAGGTTTACAAATTTATCATATCAAAAAAATTACTCCCAGACCATCTGTAAAAGTTTATTGATGACTGAAAAACTTTAACCTCAGATTAAATCTGAATGTTATTTGTAAAAAAAACTTAATCCGTTTATTAGTAGAATACAGATAAATGAAAATAAATATTTTTAAAATTTTGCTCTGGATACATGGGATACTGTATTTTTGGTCATAAACATGATAAACAAGCTTCTGTCCAAATTTCATAAAATTCCATGAAGGTTTGACAAAGTTATTGATGTCTAAAATCAAAGTGCTGGGTAGCACCTGTGGAAAGTTTGCAACGATAGATGTGTAATATTTCAAATAGGTTGTAAATGTGTAGATTGGATGTTTAACTTTTTTTCCGACTTTAAAAAAAAATTACTTAATACAAGAAAAAATTGCAACATGATGCTGTTACGAAGTCTCCCAAACAAAGCTCCCATAATAAGTCATTCCCAGGAAGGGGGTGGGAGTGACCCCAGGGGATTTGCCTTTTATTTCATTTGATTTGTTTTATTGTCCCATAGAAGAATATATATGGTTTCGGGGTGGGGATCTTGACAGTTTAAAAGTTCTCAAAACAGGATGGGGTGGGGGTGACACCCAGGGACTCCCCCTATATTTCATTTGATTTGTTTTATTGTCCCATACAAGAATATATATGGTTTATGGGTGGTGATCTCGACCGTTTACAAGTTCTTAAACAGGAAGGGGGGGGGAGTGATCCCAGGGGACTCACCTTTTATTTCATTTGATTTGTTTTATTGTCCCGTACAAGAATATATATGGTTTCGAGTGGGGATCTTGACCGTTTACAAGTTCTCAAAACAGGATGGGGTGGGGGTGACACCCAGGGACTCCCCCTATATTTCATTTGACTTGTTTTATTGTCCCATACAAGAATATATATGGTTTAGGGGTGGGGATCTTGACCCTTTACAAGTTTTCAAAAAGAAGGGGGGTGGGGTGACCCCTGTGGACTTCCTCTCTATTTCATTTGATTTGTTTTATTGTCCCATACAAGAATATATATGGTTTATGGGTGGGGATCTCGACCGTTTACAAGTTCTTAAACAGGAAGGGGGTGGGAGTGACCCCAGGGGACTCACCTTTTATTTCATTTTTGTTTTATTGTCCCGTACAAGAATATATATGGTTTCGGGGTGGGGGTGACACCCAGGGACTCCCCCTATATTTCATTTGACTTGTTTTATTGTCCCATACAAGAATATATATGGTTTAGGGGTGGGGATCTCAACCATTTACAAGTTCTCAAACAGGAGGTGGTGGGGCTGATCCAGAGGGACTCCCGCTATATTTCATTTGATTTGTTTTATGATCCTGTGATCATTACTGAAAACCGTGTGTGTTTATCACTTACTGTTTTCAAGTTATAGTCATTTGAAAATTAAAAAAAAATAAATTCCATAGGGTTCTATAGTAAATCCCTCCCTTCTTTTGGCCCCTCAAAATACCCCTAAAAAGACCTCAAGAAGAAAAATAATAATAACTTTGTTTGGGAGACTTAATAGCAAGTTGTATAATTACGAATTTTGTTATAGTCCGATTTTCTGATGCCGATTATGTAATAGGCCGAGTTTATTGTAGTCCGAGTTTGTTGTGGGCCTAGATGAGACACCGGGATACTTTCGTTACACTCGGGCTTTTACATCTTAAATAAACATTGTAAAAATCGTAATAAGCGTAGAAAAATGTTCATTCATGAAATATTTTAAGCACGGTATTTATTTTCTCTTCAACCGGAGGACGGGAGGAAACCCCTGAACCCGGGATTATAGTACTCCTGTTGATATGGATCTCACGCATGTCTGGGGAATACCGATAAAAGCATAACGTAGAAACTGCTGTCTCGTGTAGATGTGTATTGATTTTACTTTCCGCGCAGCGCAGATGCCCGAAGTAGTGTTTGTGATAGCCATTTTCAAAATGAAGTTGAATTATTTGAATTATCGATGAACATTCAGTACATTTTAATTCAAACTGTAAGCTAATCAAAATAGAAGTTACTCAAAATTTCAAAAGCATCTTTCTAGAATTAGTTGTCAAACACCAGTACTATATTATCTAGGAGTAGAACACACATCCTAAATTAAGATAGTCTGTCACTTCCAGTTTGAGGCTGATGCCTTAGGAAAGTTTTTGCTATAGCAAGCTATAGCAAACTTTCCAAAAACTTTAACCACAGACTGAACCTAAATGTTGACTACGCCAATGCCGACATCTAGGATCGCTATGTCTCTCTTTCGTGTCAATAATAAACATGATGTTGATTAGCTGTTGTCAACATCGCTATGTTGTCGATGTAAATGATGTACATTTTTTGTAAGCACAAAGATAAAGACTTGGTATACAATATAAACATGATGTTGACACAATATTGTCAACATTGCGATGTCTATGATGTATACAGAAAGGTATAGAATCGGTAAACAAATATTAACACGATGTTGATTAGCTATTTTCAACATCGCAATGTCTACAATGTAAACACTATGTCATCATTGAACAAAGTAAACACAAAGATATAGACATGGTATACAAAATAAACACGATGTTGACCCGCTCTTGTCAACATCAGGATGTCTAAGTTGTAAACACAAAGGTAAAGACTTGTTATGCAATATAAACATGATGTTGACTCGCTATTGTTAACATTGCAATGTAACATACCTGCCAACCCTCCCGTTTTGATCGGGAGACACCCGCTCAAATGGCAAAATTTGGGAAATCTCCTGCTTGCCGGGACCCTCCCGCTTTTGGATATTTCAGCCATGAGTTTACCAAAACAAATTTGTACTTTCAATTTCCTCTAATATTTATTTTTTATTTAATAAACGCGATCGCGATTGGACGATTCGATACCAACTAGCCAATGAGTGCGGATCTTACAAACAACAGGTATCACCATGTTCCCTGCAGAAATTGCGTGGAAACACATGGTAGTAAAAGGTTAATTGGCAGTCATGATTCTTACGTGCTGTTATGAATGGGGTAATACTGAGAACTCATTCCAAAAATAGAAAAAGGTAATCCCAACCATCTGCAAAAAATAGACCGTCCACCGGACTGTTGAAATTTAATTTTTGACCGCCAGATCATAAAATAGGATGTCTCGGGCGGTCGGGCGGGCTATAATTTCCAACTCTGATTATCATGCAAATAAAGTATTCATAGTACCCTCAAGAGAGGGAACAATACCCCCCTCCTCATGTGGTTTTTTGCATCAATTCTCCAAATGGAACTTTGTGACTGGTTGATAAGTTCTGTTGGAACTTTTAGGCTAGTTTGTTAGTTCCGGTTTTGACTTATTTGCCAAAGAGGAACTTTGTGGCTAGTTGATAAGTTCCTTTTGACTTTTGTAATCAGTATCTTGGTTTCCCTTTGAAAGGTTCAAATATAATATGTTGCGCTTTTACTTTGCATCAATTCTCCAAATGGAACTTTCTGCCTGGTTGATAAGTTCCGTTGGAACTTTTGGGCTAGTTTGTTAGTTCCGGTTTTGACTAATTTGGCAAAAAGGAACTTTCTAACTAGTTGATATGTTCCGTTGGATCTTTTCAACTAGTCACTTTGTTCCGGTGGAACTTTTAAACCAGAGGAAGAACAAAGTAACTAGTTAATAAGTTCCTCCGGAACTTTTCGGCTAGTTAGTTCTTTCTGCCCGGAACTTTCCAACGTCGGAACAAAACAGCATTTACAAATACACCATCTGTGACAATGTGATTAAACACCTGAAACAGAGGTAACTTAATTGAAAAGCTGTCCTGATGGGATGCAAATGTGGAAGATGATGAAAAAGGAAAGAAACAAACAACATACTTTGTAAAGGATATAACCATACTTAAAGAAATAAAGTATATCTATTAACTCTTACATGTGTTTTGTAGAAGAATAAATAAACAGGTCATATATTTCACCTGAAAATGTCGTTCGCGCAAAATCTCCCCCTCAGCTGTCATAGCTAAGAGGGAGATCTCCCTCTTTGAAGGTTTCAGAGGTTGGCAGGTATGAATGTAAACAATGTTAACACAAGGTATAGATACAATACTATGTAAACACAATTGGTGCCAATTTTACATGACGGCGACTATAATTGGTGTGAATCGATATAAAGTCAATTGAGCTATATAACTATAAGCTACAACTGTCAATTTCCAGCACCTGTTCAAATTAGAAGAAAATGTACTTGAACTGTTAATTAGCATTCTTATTAGTTAACAATAATCATCTTAAATTTATCTAGCATACCATTGAAGGCTTCAATAGAGCTCCTTCAAATGTACCATTCTGCCATTCATCACATTTTGTCTTACTTCTTTGGCATTTTCAACGTTTCTAAAGAGAGCCAGCGAAATAGTCGAATCCATGTAAAACTCATTCTTAATGACTCGCATTGACATTTTAAAATGAAGAAAGAAACGACGTAAATCTGAAGCAATGCAATAATCTTCGAGTCGAGGTGTTTAATTTCTACTTTTTCTTTGACAGGAAACGAAGGTTTTTCTTACCTCACGTGTGGGAGAGCTCGTCGCATGCGTAGAAGTCGTATTCAACGTGGAACAAGAGTAACTTCCTGTCGGGTCAATCTAATTTTTAGGAAAAATGCATATGCTTAGGCGTGATAAGAAAGAAGAAGAAGATGGTAAATATGACAACTGAGGATAAACATACCATCTTTACATCCAAGTTGGATATTTGCTCACACATTTCTTTCAATTTGTTTACCATTGTTAAATCTTTTGGGTACAGTCCTAACCCAGGAGTATGGTTTATGTCCATGTAGTGTGGTAAAACACATATGTGGATATTATATACAGTTTGTCAGTGCTCCATTCAAATTAAGCTTAACCGGTTTATACCAGGTATGGGAAGATTCTCCTTAAGAGAGGCGAAAGATATCGAAGGGGCATTCAAAACAAGCCAAAAATAACTGACAATGCCATGGCTAAAAAGAAAAAGACCATCAGACAAACAACAGTACAAAAAACACAAAATTGAAAACCCCGAAGATTTCGCAACACAAACCCCACCAAAAACGGGGGGTGATCTCATGTGCTCTGGAAGGGTAAGCAGATCCTGCTCCACATGTTGCACCGGTCAACCGTCGTGTTGCTCATGTAACATGTTAGTACAAACCTGGTGATAAGTCTAATAGGCCCCTTCACGGTTAGTGCAGCCATGTTGAATAGGAGGCAGATTTTCATAATGGAGGTAAAAATGGTTTGAAAAATATGAGAAAACATCATTAAAAGAGGACAGTTGCTTGGAAACATGCATAGGATATCCCGTACTATCATACTATTTCCACATCTATCCAAAAAACCTGCCCCTATTCAATATGGCCAAACTAACCGTGAAGTTGCCTTTTCAGTAGGTCACATTCATGGAAAAAAAAGGGTAAGGGTACTATCCATATGGGACAATTCGGCCAGGGACCAACTAATGAGTCAACTCTACAAAATGTATGTTACCAATTGTTTTACATTTGTCATTTCTGGACATATATGTTCATTTCAGGGCCTTTTATAGCTGACTATGCGGTATGGGTTTTGCTCATTGTTGAAGGCCTTACAGTGACCTACAGTTGTTGACTTTTATGTCATTTGGTCTCTGGTGGAAAGTTGTCTCATTGGCAACAGTGTTCTCCCCAGGATTTTTGGATAGCACCAGGGTAACGCGTGTGAACAGCTTGGTGAAATGATTCATACAATCAGTTGTGTCTTGTGGCATCGCTATATTTCTAGTTACTGCAGTTTTTATGTCTCTTGTTTTGTTTTAATACTGTGGTACTGTGTTATGTCAGAATATTATTGGTTAAAAAGATCAATAAAACAGTTTGTATTCTTTTTAATATTTTTGGAAAATAAATAAAACATGATTCATTACATAATATTCATCTAAATTTAAAGTAATTAAATCTTTTATCCATGATCAATAAAAATAAAATATCATTCAAACAGGAACATATATATTGTTAGATATACTGTTCCCAGATTCAAAAGAGAACAAAAATGTTCAATTTAAAAATACTTTCTAGTTTCTAGAAAGAAAGTTGTTGTTTGTGAAAGGATTCCTGTCATGAGGAGATAAAAAATTAACAAGAACAAAATCGTGTTATAATTTGAACCAGTTTCTATCTTAAATTTTAATAAAAAGAAATTTTTCACAAATTTAAAACATTTTGCCATAGATTTCATGTACATGTAAATATTAACCTTTCTTGTCTTTGGTGATGATCAAACATAGATACAAACTTAATACTGCAATGAAATCTAAATCTAAATCTTTATTTGTCATGATCCATTTAAAAAGAATTCCTAAATCTATAAATTTATCTTAGGTCTATAGATCTATAAGTAACATATTCAATGTCAACAACAAAGTCTCCCTATTTTCCCGCCTAAATGACAGGAAGTAGATATAAATAAATTAAACATGTGCTTATGGATTAAAATTGCAAGATCACTTCTGTTATTCATTAATCATCATATGGATATAGATATCCAGTTTGAAGGTACAGTCATGCATTTTATTTATAAAATAGAATAGATTGCAGTTAATTGTAAATAATTTTGAATATTCTACATGAACTAACTGGGTCATGGGATCCTTCCCCTTTGAATTACTTGTTGACAGTTTGAAACCGGAATATCATGCAATAACTATGTCATAATTAAAGATAATTTTGGCCATGGTTTAATCAGAGACATATAAAACTATAATATAAGTATTGAGCTAACTTTATAATGTACAAAATATGTACCGTCGTGTGTACAACTATCGGGTCAACACGGTTTGTGTACAAAGTATTTGCCGACTTGTCAGGTGGTGAGTGAAGCCTTAAAATAGTTATCTATGATCATAAAGTTATGATTTCTAAATTAAAACACAAAAGAATCATGTAAAAAGTGTTAATTACATCGATTAAATCCAATCAACAAAGGTTAACCTCATAAAGGTAAATCGATCACGTGGTGTAAACAATCCGTGTTGAACTGGTTTGAACTGGTCAAATTTCACCTGGAATTTTATACCGCACGGAAAAGATTAAACAAGTCGTTTAACCGATTTACGATTTTTTAACTGAAAATTTTAGCACCACGGAGAAAAATTATACATCGCGGTAACAACGATACCACCGCGGTAAAAAATTATACATCGCGGACCCGTGGTCCTTTAATGGTCTGGGGAGAACACTGGGCAATCAAACCAGTGATTTTGTTAGCGCTCGTCATCTTCACCATTTAAGAAATGATTTTCTAAATGACGAAAGTATTTCTGATCAATTTCATCACGTAAAAGTAAAATTGAAAAAATTGTGCAAAATTTTGCCTGGTGACAAGTTTACGACCCCAAGCTAATCAACGGATACAACATGTGTCATAATTTGTTGTTACAGGTAATCCATTTATCCAATGGGTCATAAATGATCATCAAAATTTATTCACACATATAGAATCGGTCAGTCAGCATTTCGTCATTTCGTATGAAACTGATCATACCACACGTTTACTGTATTTTCATGATGAAAAGGTAATTTGCACCATAACTCAAGGAACTTATTCAAACACATCTTTTTTTATCTCGCCTTGACGGAGTGTAAAAAGCGAGACATGGGTATGCTGTTTCCGGCAGCTGGGGCAGCGGCATCAGCAATGTATTAATTTGTGATTACATGTAGGTCAGTTTTATGGTGAACTACTAGTGGTAGGTCAATGATATTTGGTATGCAGTTGTATAAGCATTGGCACATCTCATTTCCATGGAGATTATTTGGCCCCACCCCTTCAGTCATGGTCTATTGACGTGGAAACTTTTACTTTGTGTACATGTATTAGCTTGTGATTAGGTCAGTTTATGGAGAACCACTAGTGGTAGGTTAATGATATTTAGTATGTAGTTGTATAAGCATTGGCATATCTTATTTCCAGTCCCTCAGTCATGGTCTATTGACTTTGAAAGTTTTGCCTAGTTTACATGTATTAGTTGGTGATTAGGTCAGTTTAAGGAGAACCGATTTTGGTAAGTCAATGATATTTGGTATGCAGTTGTATAAGCATTAGCACATGGAAATTGTTTGGCCCTGCCCCTTCAGTCATGGTCTATTGACTTTGAATGTTTTGCATTGTTTACATGTTAAAGTTTGTGATTAGATCAATATAATATGAACCACTAATGTTAAGTCAGTGATACATGGAATGCAAATGAATTGGCATTTGCAGGTCTCATTTTCATGAAAATTATATGGCACGATCCCCTCATCATGGTTCATTGACTTTGAAACTTTCACATAGTTTACAAGTTAATGTTTGAGTTTAGGTTTGTTTAAAGGGAATGACTTATGATAAATCAATGCTATTTGGTATGCAGTTGTATTAGCATTTGTACATCTCATTTCTATGGAGATTGTTTGGCCCTGTACCTTCAGTCATGGTTCATTGACTTTGATGAATATTTTGCATAACTTACATGGTAAAGTATTGCTATTTTAATTACAAAATTTGCATTTTCTAAATAACAAAAAGGCAAGACATATCTCTGTGTTAACAGTTTATCTTGAATTCCTTAAAAAAGTGTTAAATTCAGACATATTTTGTCTTTATCTGCCCTCACTTTTGATATAGAATAACAAAACGGGCTGCCATTAATTGAATGTGCTTCTACTATCAGTATGTATAATCCTCCGAAGAGTAGGAGCACACCTGAATCAAGAAAGATAATTCGATTATAATTTTTCCTAGTAGTGAAATGCCTTCTCATGATCTGTCTACATACATGTACTTCTCACTTTAGGACTTATAGGTTTAGGAGGTCTTTTGAGTTATGGTGCAAATTAGGAGAAAGGGGGAGGGTGGAGAGGGGGCTTGGGTCATCATTTTCTGTATTCTTTATTTTTATACAAATTTTCTCAATCCTAAAGCCTTATGGCACAACTTGGCTCATGATCTTTAAAAGTGTTCACTGATATGTAACAGTTCATAACATTTCACTTTTTTCTGCAGGAGGAGGGAATCCATTTCATAATTTGGAGAAAAGTGTAGTATTACAAGAGGTAAGTTTATTAAGATGGTAAGAATTTGTCAGATTTGTTAGTCTTGTTTCTTACTGAGACCATATTCTCTGCTGTTACGGAAATGCAAAACTGTTGAAAATGGTAAATTTTTTATCATAAAAAAAAAAAAGATGATAAAACTACACTGTAACAAGTTGGACAATTACAGAATGATGGAATGTATTTTAATATTTTTATTCTGATTAAAATATATTACAAACTAACATCTCTATGCAAGGTCTTTTTTATACGACCACCAAAAAATTTGTGGTCATATAATGGCATGACGTTACCGAAGACATTTGGTTTCCAGACAATAACTGGAGTATAGGTGTGTGGATCTTAATGAAATTGTACCACAAGGTTCCATACCACAAAAGGAAGGTTGGGAATGATTTTGGGGGTTATGGCCCAAACCGTTTAGGAATTGGGGCAAAAAAAACAAGAATTTTCTGGTTTCAGGACAATAACATGAATAAATTGAGTATACATGTAGTTTAATTTTAACAAAAATTTCATTTTTGGGGTTTGATATGCTGAATCTAAACATGTATTACAATTTTGATATTGGTCCAATTTTCAAGCTGGTCCAAATCAGGGTCCAAAATAAAACTTTGTTTGATTTCAACAAAAATTGAATATATGGGCTTCTTTGATATGCTGAATCTAACATGTATTTAGATTTTGGGTCCTGTTATCAAATTGGTCCACATTAAGGTCTAATGGGTCCAAAATTAAATTTTTTTTTGTTTGATTTCATCAAAACTTGAATTCTTGGGGTTCTTTGATATGCTGAATCTAACCATGTATTTAGATTTTGGATATTGGAACATAATAGGTAAATGTCCAATTTCAAATTTTTAAGTTCTTCATTGTTCTTTGACCACATTCATTCTGTGTCAGATACCTATGCTTTGTCAAATATTTAATCACAATCCAAATTCAGAGCTGTATCAAACTTAAATTTTGTGTCCTTACTTGCCCCAACTGTTCAGGGTTGGACCTCAGAGGTCGTATCAAGCTGCACCGTTCCGAGCATTTTATTTAGGAATGATACACTTAAAACTACATTAGTTCTATCATTGTATGAGTAATAGAGAGAATACTGATATAAAGTGGTCTCTAAATGCAATATATTTTGTAACTCCTAGGGAGCTTTCTTTAATTGAAGCCATATTAATTAAGTAAATCAGCGGGAAGAAATTAGGACAAATAAAAAGTTAAGCCAAAACACATAAATATAAATTGATTTTATTTTAGCTTGCTATAACATAGTAGCTAAATCTCTTTATCATTATCCTGCATTTTTATTGCTTATTGTTGAGAAAGCTTGTTTACACATGTTTCTCTTTTAGTTAAAAACAACAGAACATGAAGTTTAGTCATTATGAAGAAATTTTGTCCAATAAATATTCAGGATTCACTAGGCCCAACATTTTTACTAGACATTTCATCCAGAATAAATCACACCTTATTTGACCAATGTCTGATGAATGTTTAAAAGACGTCAGGAAAAGGAAAGGATTCATATATTTTTGGTCAACTTTTTATACGACCGCAAACAATTTTTGCGGTTGTATATTGGTATGACGTTGGCGTCGTCGTCGTCCGAAGGCACATTGGTTTTCGCACAATAACTTTAGTTTAAGTAAATGGATCTTTATGAAATTTTACCATAAGGTTCAGGAGCAGGAAAAGGAAAGGATTCATATATTTTTGGTCAACTTTTTATACGACCGCAAAACATTTTTGCAGTCATATATTGGTATGACATTGGCGTCATCGTTGTCGTCGTAGGCACTTTGGTTTTCGCACAATAACTTTAGTTTAAGTAAATGGATCTTTATGAAATTTTACCATAAGGTTCAATACCACAAAAGGAAGGTTGGGATTGATTTTGGGGGTTATGGTACTAACAGTTAAGGAACTAGGGGCCAAAAATAAGCATTTTTCTAGTTTCCAGACAAATACTTGTGGAACAGTGTATGGATCTCTCTGAAATTATACCACAAGTTTCCATACCACAACGGGATGGTTAGGATTTGCTTTGGAGGGTTATGGCTCAAACTGTTAAGGAATTAGGGGCAAACAAAATTAGTACAAAACATAATTTAAAGCAGTGTAAGGGAGGTAATCCGAATACAACGTTCTGATTACCTCCCTTACACTGCTTTTAAATTATGTTTAAAGAAATGCATATTTATAAAGGAAGACCAGTAAAAATATCTGCAAATGTTGCATCGTTTTTTTTTACAAAAAAATCCATATGAAAGATTTGACACTATATTTTAAATTATACTATAAAATAGATTAAGTTAGCACTATGGTAAATTTAAATGGATAATTATGGTTGCAAACTCCATTGGAAATTTGAATTGAGATTATGACCATATCTTGAAGGAAAGAATTTTTTTGGGGTAAAAAGGAGGGGGGGGGGGGGGTAAAAAGAAATTGTGGGGGTCAATATTTTCTCATTTCAGATTTCAGAAATTAAAAAGAAAAATTCTTCAATTATTATTTTTTTTTTGCAAAAAAAAGTGTGTTCAGAGGGGGTTAAACGCAACAGCATAGTGTATTGCACAAAAGCAAAAAAAAAAGGGGGGTAAATATTTTATTTTTTTTAGTGGGGTTAAGGGGGGGGTGGTCAATTTGCAACAGCAAAGTGTATTGCACAAAAGCAAAAAATTGAATATAAATTCAAATCATATAACCAATTCTAAGTTCTTTGACTACAGTTATTCTGTGTCAGAAACCTTTTATGTGTCAAATATTTAATTACAATCCAAATTCAAACTTGTATCAAGTGGGAATATTGCATCCATTTTTGCCCCAACTGTTCAGGGTTGGACCTCTGTGGTCGTATCCAGCTGCGCTCGGCGAAGCAATTTATTACATATGTTGAATATCTTTTTAATATCAAATATTTAACTATATCTTGGTACATTCTTTTTCAGACAAGACTATTTAATGAAACACCAATAAATCCAAAAAGATGTGGACACATACTGACAAAACTTTTATATCTCATCAACCAGGTAAGACGTGTACATATATATGCAGTTAATGCCATTACCATTTCTGATACATTTGTACTATGTCTCCTTCTAAAGTTTCTTTTTGAGGATAACACAATACCAGAAAAGTTTGACATTTATATACAAATGATACAGATAGATTAATAAAATTTTTAATAAGTGGTGACCAGGATTAAATGTCAGTTGTAATGACCAGATAGATATAATACCAGTTAGCTATGGACCTTCACAATATTTTCCAGGATTGACAAAGTCGTGTACATTTTTAGCTCACCTGGCATCACTTGTCGTCCATCAACGTTAACTTTTACTAAAATCTTCTCTGCAACTACAGGGCCAAATTTAACCAAACTTGGCCATAATCATCATTGAGGTATCTAGTTTAAAAAATATGTCAGATGACCCCACCTGCCAATCAAGATGGCCGACATGGCTAAAAAATAGAAGAAACGTAAAATGCAAGTTTTGTTTATTATTTTGAAAACCGTTATGAATAGAGAAAATCTGACAAGAGCAAAAATGTTCAGAATGTTGAGCTCTACCAACTGTCCATATATGTCAAAACTGTCCGACCATTTTTTTTGCGTTTTTGCCTTATATCTTAAAAATTATAATAGCTCTAGATAGAAACTTAAATAAGCAAAAATGATCAGCATGTAAAAAAACGAACTCAATGTCAGTTAAGCACAAAGCAGGGCATATTTGTTTTATAATATGTTATCATCTTGAATATGCATGTAAAATTTGCCACTGAAGTGTGACTGAACATTCAACAGCTATCAATTTATGTTTGTATTTTGACAGGGAGAAAGTATTGGAACAACAGAAGCCACAGAAGCATTCTTTGCTATGACCAAGTTATTTCAAGCCAAAGATGTAAGTCATAGAAGCTGACTGGAAGTTTAGTTTAAACATATTTTATTTGCAAAAGTAGCAAAAGGGATTGGACACTAGTTATAGCAACATTAGTGACGTCCTCTCCGTAACTGGCTGACTGGAAGCGTGGAGATCATATGTATACAAGTTCAAAAAAATTTAAACAATCTCATGAATAAATCATGCTAAACATTGTTTCATTTATGGTATTTCTGACTAATTCATATTTCTTAGAAGACAGGAGAATCAATGAACAGCAAACAAGCAGAAATCAAGAAAAATGTTAAATTGCATTTGTTTGATAGTCATTTGAAAATTACAGGCATTGCAATAGCAAATATGAAATAAGACATAATCCATAGTTAAACTGTTAGAACAGTATTTTTTTATCAGATTTAAACTGAAAAAATTTAAGCAAAATATCATAGTTGATGAATAATTCTGAGCTTGAATGTTATTTCTTTTTCTTCTGTAGCCTGTATTAAGGAGACTGGTCTATCTTGGGATCAAAGAAATGTCCAAAATAGCAAATGATGTCATCATTGTTACTAGCAGGTAAACATAAAATCAAAATGGGATTCAAGAATTTTCCAAAACATTTTCTAATTATATCTTTCTTAGATGCTTCTCTACTCTACCAGTGCTTAATATAGGTACTTTCATGAAACAGAATATTTTATTTGATCTTATCTGGAAATGACCTATTGGTGAGAACATGTGCCCATAAACAAATCGTTTTTGTTTCTCAAGTGAACAAACCGCCATCATACCACATCTTATTATGCCCCCGCCGTAGCGGTAGGGATATTAAGTTTTACCCTTGTCCGTCTGTACGTATGTATGTACGTCCCAAAACTGGTTTCCGTTCTCTAACTTGAGTTTGCCTGAACCAAATGTTATGAAACTTATACACAATGCTTATTACCACAAAACACAGATCAAGTTTTAATTTTGGTAGCGTCACTTTAACCGTTCTAGAGTTATGCCCCTTTATAAATGGAAAAATTGCAAAATTTTTAGTTTCCGTTCTCTAACTTAAGTTTGCCTCAACCAAATGATTTGAAACTTATACACAATGCTTATTACCACAAAACCCAGATCAAATTTGAATTTTGGTGGCGTCACTTTAACCGTTCTAGAGTTATGCTCCTTTATAAATGGCAAAATTGCAAGATTTTTAGTTTCCGTTCTCTAACTTAAGTTTGCCTCAACCAAATGATTTGAAACTTATACACAATGCTTATTACCACAAAACCCAGATCAAATTTGAATTTTGGTGGCGTCACTTTAACCGTTCTAGAGTTATGCTCCTTTAGTTTAAGTGAATGGATCTCTATGAAATTTTACCAAAAGGTTCAATACCACAAAAGGAAGGTTGGGATTGATTTAAGGGGTTATGGTACCAACAGTTAAGGAATTAGGGTCCAAAAAGGGGCCAAAAATAGGCATTTTTGTAACTTCCAGACATAACTAGTGTGTCAGTGTATAGATCTCTCTGACATTGTACCACAAGGTTCCATATCACAAAGGGAATGCTGTAATTGATTTTGGGGGTAATTGCCTCAAAATTTTAGGGATTAGGGGCCAAAAAAAGGGGCAAAAAACAAGCATTTTTCTAGTTTCATGACAATAACTTGTGTGTAAGTGTATGTATCTTTCTGAAATTGTACTACAAGGTTCCATATCACGAAGGGAAAGCTGGAATTGAGTTTGGGGGTAATTGCCCAAAACGTTTAGGAATAAGGGGCCAAAAATAAGCATTTTTCTTGTTTCCAGACAAAAACTTGTGTTTAAGTGTATGGATCTCTCTGAAATTGTACTGCAAGGTACCATACCACAAAGGGAAGGCTGGGATTGAGTTTGGGGTGATGAATCATAAGGGGGTTCAAAAAATTTGTTGTAGGGATTTTTTTTCTTTAAAATTTTCCATTTTTAAATTGGTTATTTCTGATTTATATATAAAAGCAAATAATAATGATATGGTTTGAATAGGTAAATTAAAATTTTTTAAGTTCTTAGACCACATTCATTCTGTGTCAGAAACCTATGCTGTGTTCAAATATTTAATCACAATCCAAATTCAGTGCTGTATCAAGCTTGAATGTTGTGTCCATACTTGTCCCAACTGTTCAGGGTTCTACCTCTGCGGTCGTATCAAGCTGCTCCCAGCAGAGCATTTTATTAAAATTGGAGTTATCTTCCTTTGTCCATGATTATAGTTGAATCAACTACAATCAATGTTTTATACAATGCAATGTTTAATTTTGACTTCCACTGATAAAACACAGATCAAGTTGAATTTGGGTAGTGTCACTTTAACCATTATTGAGTTATGCCCCTTTATAAATCGAAAGATTGCAAAATTTTTAGTTTCCATTCTGTAACTTAAGTTTGCCCCAACCAAACATTATGAAACCTATACACAATATTCATTACCACAAAACTAAGATCAAGTACAAATTTTTTGTTTCCGTTTTCTAACTTTAGTTTGCCTCAACCAAATGTAATGAAACTTATACACAATGCTTATTACTACATAATACAGATTAAGTACGAAATTTGGTGAGAACACTTTTACCATTCTTGAGTTATGTCCCTTTATAAACATAGAAATTGCTGAATTTTTGTTTCCGTTCTCTAACTTTAGTTTGTCTCAACCAAATGTTATAAAACTTATACACAACCGTTCTAGAGTTATGCGTGTTTACAAATAGAAAAATTGCTGAATTTTTAGTTTCTGTTCTCTACTTAAGTTAGCCTCAATTAAATGTTATGAGACTTACACACAATGCTTATTACCCCAAAACTCAGATCAAGTTCAAATTTGGGTAGCGTCACTTTTACCGTTCTTCAGTTATGTCCCTTTATAACTATATGCTATGCAAGCGGGGGCATCATCTGTGTCCACATGTGAACACTATCCACATTTGTTTTTATAAATGAAATATCATGAATATACTCTGAACAGTGAGTAGTTGAAGAAACCTTAAACTACCTTAGTTGAGATGGTCCATGAAGAATCTTAAATATGTCCTGTTAAACTTAATATACATTGGATCTTACTTATATACACAGAAAAGAATTTGATTCCATTAAAAATATAAATTTGTTAAAGTTTAACATAATGAGAGGAATTTATTTATTTATTTTTTATTAACAGCTTGATGAAAGACATGACAGGAAAAGATGATCAGTTTAGAGGACCAGCCATTAGAGCTCTTTGTTCTATTACTGACGTAAGTATCCTAGTGCAAAGTAAGTCATTAGAGCTCTTCTGTTCAGCAACTGACATGATTCCACATGTATAGAGCTTGACTGATATGTAATGTTCAGAATTTATCTCAAGAATTATAGCATTTAAAGACAGATTTAAACACACCATACATGTACCTAAGCCCTTTATAAACAACAGAATAGTGTTAAAGGTGAGCTAATAGCTATTATAATTCCTCTTCAGCATGAGGAAAAGCAGATGTAGCTTTGTTGAAATAGGCTGTCAGAGTACAAATACAATAAATTTCAACCTAACATAAGAACATTAGGATTTTTGATACATGAATAAAAAGAGGTATACATTGATGAGACGACAACCCAACAATCTAAAAAAAACAAGAGATCAATATGTGATTAAAGTATGGCAAGAATAGTTAAGTGATGTAAGATTTGTAATGTTTCCATTTCAGAATACCATGTTACAAAGTATAGAGAGGTATATGAAGCAGGCCATCGTAGACAAGAACCATGCTGTGTCTAGTGCAGCATTAGTATCTTCTCTGGTCAGTCTTGTAGTTCACATTTTTTTATTCTCCAACAAAAAACAATTGAGAATGGTAACACTTTTCATTTTTTTCTGCAATTAAAGATGAATTCTTGCTTGATGTGATTGGTAAATGAATTGTCTCATATTAAGAAAATCTGTATTCAGTATTTTTGATTCAGCCATGCTGGATCTATGCGATCACTCCAGATTTGTAGATGGTGCAGAATTCTAAGTTGAAGACATATCATGAAACTAATTGTGTTTTTTTATGACTTACAGTAACTATACACCATTTTAATCATCTATTGCCTATTTTGGACATGTTATTTGCCCTTCTATTAAGAAAAGATTGGTCGAACAGCTTCTTTCTTTTAGAATTACACTTGCATATAGTTCCTTTGTAGATCAAAATTCATTATAAATTACTATTTATTAATTAATGTGAAAAAGTTATATATCAAATTTAAGCAGTTAACGAGAATTATGAAAGTATTTTATCAGTATCTTACTTGTGTAAGTAATTGAATAAAATTTGGTACAAGGTGTGTATTGATATCAAAGTTGATTCCTACACTTTTTTGAAATGCTAATTTTCCAATTCTTTTCTTAGGCAAATAAGAGTACAGATACAATACTGTATGATAGACAACTGTCATTATTTAAAAATAATTTCACTCAAAGGTGGGAGTATAAATTGGAATCACCTACACTTTAATGCCAATCTTAATTGACCACAGTTAATATCTCTTGTATTACATAATTGAATACACAATAATATTGACCTCAATAGTAGACCTATAATCATTATTCATCTACACTACATGAAATTATTCTGTAAATTATTTCTCAGAGATGAACGATTAGGATAAAAAAGATGCATGTCTTTGCAAAGAAATGACAAAAAAAATATGTATGAAAAAATGCAAGCATTTTACTTGTAGAATCAGTGTTATAATCATCTGATATTAGTCAACAATTTATGTTAATTTCAGTCACAGTTATCATTAATCAGCTTGAAACAATAAACAAAATTGCATAACTCTAACTTGATGATTTTCTGCAATCAATTTTGTTTTGTTTTTTCCCTATTATATTGCTATTTAACAGTGTAAGCTATTGTACATGTATATTTGAATACAGAAATTATTTTTTCTCAATGAAGAATGAACACCAATTTAAATGAAAATTAGTTATTTGATTTTTATACGACCGCAAAAATTAAAAAATTTTTGGTCGTATATTGGTATGACGTTGGCGTCGTCGTCGGCGTTGTCCGAAGACACATTGGTTTTCGCACTCTAACTTTAGTTTAAGTGAATGGATCTCCATGAAATTTTACCATGGGGTTCAATACCACGAAAGGAAGGTTGGGATTGATTTTGGGGGTTATGGTACCAACAGTTAAGGAATTAGGGGCCAAAAAGGGGCCAAAAATAAGCATTTTTGTACATTCCAGACAATAACTTGTGTGTAAGTGTATGGATCTCTCTGACATTGTACCACAAGGTTCCATATCACAAAGGGAAGGCTGTAATTGATTTTGGGGGTAATTGCCTCAAAATTTTAGGAATTAGGGGCCAAAAAAGGGGCAAAAAACAAGCATTTTTCTAGTTTCATGACAATAACTTGTGTGTAAGTGTTTGGATATTTCTGAAATTGTACTACAAGGTTCCATATCACAAAGGGAAAGCTGGAATTGAGTTTGGGGGTAATTGCCCGAAACGTTTAGGAATTGGGGGCCAAAAAGGGGCCAAAAATAAGCATTTTTCTAGTTTCCAGACAATAACTTGTGTTCAAGTGTATGGATCTCTCTGAAATTGTACTGCAAGGTACCATACCACAAAGGGAAGGCTTGGATTGAGTTTAGGGGTGATGAATCATAAGGGGGTTCAAAAAATTTGGGGGGGGGATTTTTTTTTTTTTTTTTTTTTTTCTTTTAAAATTTTCCATTTTAAGTTGGTTATTTCTGATTTATATTTAAAAGCAAATAATAATGATATGGTAGGAGATACACACCAAACAGGATGTGTAAATTATTATATAATAAGTATTGTGCAATAGCAAGAAATTTTCAATTGCACAGTATTGCACAATAGCAAGAAATCTTCAATTGCACAGTATTGTGCAATAGCAAGAAATCTTCAATTGCACAGTATTGCGCAATAGCAAGAAATATCCAATGGCACATTATTGCGCAATAGCAAGAAATTGTCAATTGTACAGTATTGCGCAATAGCAAGAAATATTCAATTGCACAGTATTGTGCAAAAGAAGATACTTCGTATAAATTGCTTATTTCTTGATCAATTTCAATGGGGTTTTATTCTTGAATTCTTGGGGTTCTTTAATATGCTGAATCTAACCGTGTATTAAGTTTTTGGATTTTGGGCCCCGTTTTTAAATTGGTCCACATTGAGGTCCAAAGGGTCCAAAATTTAACTTTGTTTGATTTCATCAAAAATTGAATTATTGAGGTTCTTTGATATGCCGAATCTAACTGTGTATTTAGATTCTTAATTTTTGGTTCCGTTTTCAAATTGGTCTACATTAAGGTCCAAAGGGTCCAAAATTAAACTTAGTTTGATTTTAACAAAAATTGAATTTTTAGGGTTCTTTGATATGCTGAATCTAAACATGTATTTAGATTTTTGATTATGGGCCCAGTTTTCAAGTTGGTCCAAATCGGGGTCCCAAATTAAACTTTGTTCTATTTCAACAAAAATTGAAAATATATGGTTCTTTGATATGCTGAATCTAACCATGTATTTAGATTTTTGATTTATTGGCCCCGTTATCAACTTTTTCCACATTGAGGTCAAAAGGGTCCAAAATTAAACTTTGTTTGATTTCATCAAAATTTGAATTCTTGGGGTTCTTTGATATGCTGAATCTAACCATGTATTTAGATTTTGGATATTGGACCATAATAGGTGAATGTCCAATTTAAAAATTTTAAGTTCTTAGACCACATTCATTCTGTGTCAGAAACCTATGCTTTGTCAAATATTTAATCACAATCCAAATTCAGAGCTGTATCAAGCTTGAATGTTGTGTCCATACTTGCCCCAACTGTTCAGGGTTCGACCTCTGCGGTTGTATCAAGCTGCGCCCTGCGGAGCATTTTATTGTTGTTGAAAAAGTGCATTTTCAATGCCTCCTTTCTGAAATTATTAAGTCAAACTTCAATAAAAAATATACTACACCTTCCTTTGAAGATTTCTATTTCCTGTCATGCAAAATTATTTAATAGAAAAATAAGAAGATATTAGAAATCAGTGCCCCTTCTAAAAATTGAAATATCTAAAGAATTTGTATCAAAATTGAGAAATCAGTGTCCCTTCTAAAAATTGAAATATCTAAAGAATTTGTATCAAAATTGAGAAATTCTCCATCTATATTGGGCAATAGAAGGGGCACTGATTTCTAATATCTTCTTATTTTTCTATTAAATAATTGAATACAATTTTTTGAGTAAAATTATGGAAATGAAATAAAACCATTTATCTTCAGTGTCATATAATTTTTATCAAAAATCAATAAATGATCTTAGATGATAAAAGTTGCACATATTTGTTTACAATTAGAAATATTCCCAAAAGCAACCATTTACTAGTAAATTTAGGGAGACAAGCTTGTTTTAGATGATAAAACCAAGCTTGTCTCCCTATAAAATTTACTAGTAAATGGTTGCTAATATCAACTGAAAAAAAAAACAATTATCTTTCTGAATTTAATGCAAGAATGATATATCCCAAGTTTTTTTTTTTTTTTACAATACCTGAGAATATGATTTGAAATTATGCACACAACTCTTCCAGTCTTTCCATCAGTGATTTCGATCACTTTGATTGTCAGAAGTACCTTAGAAGAAGTACATTTTACTGGGAATTTCATGAACTGAAAGTGGTGATTTTAAAAAATGAAAAATAAGTGGTTATTTTTTAGTAAAATAATAATGAAAATGATAATGTTCTACATTTAATCCTAGTGTTGTCTGTTTTTTTTTAAACATATGATATTAGATTGTCCCTTGGTTTCTTCTCTGTTTAAACACAAATTAACATTTTGAGCCAAAATCACTAGTTCAAAGTTGTGATGCTTGTCTCTAAATGTCTTACAATAGCGTGTATACATTTTTTTTATTAAAAATGAGATCAGAAAAAATGTCGTTCTACCGGCAGTAGCTAAACAAATGGCTGAATCATAGCACTGACGATGCTTTGATTCTTTTTTCTCTGTTGTAAATATCACATTGATGGTCAAACATTGAAAAAGAGTTTTGTATACATGGAATCTAAAATGAGATTTTTATCTATGTTTTGCTCCTGTTACTCTCCTTAAACTGGAAGTATATTTTGATGATTTCTAAAAAGTGAACAGCATGAAATTTTTTTTGTCATTTCATGATTTATTTTTGTTTTGGAAAGTTTCTTACAGCATCTAAGACAAATGTCAGATGATGATTTTTACCTTCTTCTCAGTACTTCCCTCTGCAGATATCTAGTTTTTAAGCTAACTTTTCCATAGACATCACAATATAAAACAACATACAGCTCTAATACAAGAATTATATATATATATATATATATTTAGACTCTATATTTTTCAGCATTTAAGTAAAGGCAGTCAGGATGTTATAAAGAGATGGGTTAATGAAGCACAGGAGGCTGTATCAAGTGATAATATCATGGTCCAGGTAAGCAAAAAGGATTAAAACAATCTTTTTCAGGTTCAACATATTCTAGTGAGTCAAAATATGTAGGTCCAAGATATACGACCTGTTCATAATTTTATAATGGTAGTCTTTGCAATTATTTTAGCTGTTTAAATGAAAAAAAAACAAAACAGTGATTTTTATGTGACATGAAATTGCCAATAGGCAAATGACTTTTGCTTATACTTGATCTACATAAAATTTACTTGCCATATGTTTGGTAGTGTATTTTTTCTCGCGACCCACCAGACTCAAAATTAAGATCTTTGACTGTGAGATTATTCTACATTAAGGGGTGACAAAAAGATATTTTCCCACAAAATCAGATGAAAATCTATCCCTTATGATCATATCAGTTTTTTTTCATAGGGAAACGTTTAATTTACCACCTCTGTAAAATATATAGGACTACATTAGTATATATATATATATAGGTTCTACCATACCACCCTGTTGATTACGATAGTTATCTCCCCAAGATAGTTAAGATTTGAAAACTATTGAGAGTGAATACAATATTTAGATAAAAGAGTAAAGTGATAGAATATGCTTCTCTAATGATTTCAAGTGCGATTTTGCTCAATCGGCAACACATATTAAATTGATGTATTTCTTTATTTTCAGTACCATGCATTAGGCTTGTTGTACCACATTAGAAAGTATGACAGACTTGCTGTAACAAAACTGGTCAGCAAATTCAGTAAACATTCACTCAAGTCACCATATGCCTATTGTTTGCTGGTAAATATTATATAGTTAGGTTTTTTTTTCAGCTTTGGTCCTCTTATGGTTTATATTGTTGGTATAAAGTTAAAGCATTATAATACTCTTTCTATATCATGTATATATCATTTACATATTTAATTGATTTATATCAGTTTTGCTTTTTGAACTGAAACATGCTTATTACCTTGTTGGTCAAACTATTTGCAAGTAAATTTTTTCTGTGTTTATGTGTAGTAGTAATTGATGACTGACTTGGCACATTTTGTTTTAAATGTTTTTAATACTGTACTGATTATAAATAAGATCTTTCCTGGTTCAAAGTTTATGTTTAGAAGTACAAATGTGGTTTGATTTCTATAAACTCAATTGTTCAAATTTGATTTTGTTAGAATTCTTTTCTGCTTTTGCTATGCAAGGCCCTAATAAAAATAAGAACAAAGACGATGTTGCAGAATAAAGCAAATGTTGCAGTTTTTCTACATATCATGTTACATATTCCTACTACTGCATTGTGTACACATATAATCTGTAAATTTATTGGTGATTAGAAAAAGAAAATATGTCTAAATTGTAGATTAGGATTGCCAGTAAACTGATGGAAGAAGAAGGCGCAGGGTAAGTATATGACTAAAAATAACAATACACCACAATGTCCTAAATGAAACACAGCCAAAAGTTTCAATCAACATCACTTCACATTGTTCTTAAATGAAAATAATATTACAGGTTAATGTCAATACTTCAGTACATAGTTACTGGACAAAAGATTTTAACAAAAACGAAGATGCACCACAAAGTTAAATGATAACAAAATTTGTATTAGACAAACAAAATAGTTCAGTTTACTTTCAATATTATTAATTTCTACATGTACTTGATCAATTGACAATGCAAATTTGGAAAATAAACAAAATAATTCAATTCACATGCCCACAATTTCTCCTAGAACATACATTTCTTTGATGACTTGTTGTTTTTCTTACACAGAACTGACAGTCCAATGTTTGATTTCATTGAGAATTGTTTACGTCACAAGAGTGAGATTGTTATTTATGAGGCAGCCCATGCCATTGTCAATCTGAAGAATACAACAGCTAAAGAATTATCCTCAGCTGTTCCAGTGTTACAACTTTTCTGTAGTTCACCCAAACCTACACTTAGGTTTGCTGCTATCAGGACACTGAATAAGGTATAAAAATCAACATGTATTCACAGTTTTAGCTCACCTGACCAAAAGGCCAAGTGAGCTTTTCTCATCACTTGGCTTCCATCGTCGTCCGTTTACTTTTACAAAAATCGTCTTGTCTGAAATTACTAACCAAATTCAACCAAACAAGGCAAACAAGGATTCAACCAAACAAGGCAACAATCATTATTAGAGTATCTATTTTAAAAAAATGTGTCTGTGACCCCGGCTGTCAATCAAGATGACAGACATGGCTAAAAATAGAACACTGGGGTAAAATGCAAGTTTTGTCGATTATTTTGAAAAAAGATATAAATATTGAAAATCTGAGTAGGCAAAAATGTTCAAAATTTTGAGCTCTACCATCTTAAAAACTATAATAGATAGATAGAAACTTTAAAATCAAAAATGATCAGCAAGACAAGATCTACAAATAAGTAAACATAACTGATATCGTAAGTCGACTCCTTATTGAAGTAATTGCCCTTTAATGACGATTTTATCCAGTTTTCCTAAGTTTTTCCCATTTTTGCCTATCTTGAAAACTAATTATTAATAGATAAATAAAAACTTTTAAAAGGAAAAATTATCTGCAGGATAAGATCTACGCCGTAGCGGAGGGGGCATAAAGTTTTACCCTTGTCCGTCTGTACGTACATACGTACGTCCCAAAATTGGTTTCCATTCTCTAACTTTAGTTTGCCTCAACCAAATGTTCTAAAACTTATACACAATGCTTATTACCACAAAACACAGATCAAGTTTGAATTTTGGTGGTGCCACTTTTACCGTTCTAGAGTTATGCCCCTTTACAAATGGAAAAATTGCTGAATTTTTCGTTTCCGTTCTCTAACTTGAGTTTGCCTCAACCGAATGTTAGGAAACTTATACACAATGCTTATTACCACTAAACACAGATCAAGTTAGAATTTTGGTGGCGTCCCCTATTCCGTTCCAGAGCATATTCCAGAGTTATGCTCTTTATAATTGAAAAATTGCTAAAATATTCGTTTCTGTTCTCTTACTTTAGTTTGCCTCAATTAAGTGTTATGAAACTTATGCACAATGCTAATTATCACAAAGCACAGATCAAGTTCGAAATTTGGTGGCGTCACTTATACTGTTCTAGAGTTATGCCCCTTTACAAATGGAAAAATTGCTGAATATACCACAAAACACAGATCAAGTACAAATTTGGGTAGTGTCACTTTTACATTTCTTGAGTTATGTCTCTTTATAACGTAATATGCAAGTGGGGGCATCATCTGTGTCCCATGGACACATTCCCCATTTATTTTACATTTTTATGCATTTTTTGCCTATTATCTTGAAAACTATATTAGATATATAGAAACTTTAAAAAGGAAAAATTATCAGCAGGATAAGATCTACAAACATGTCAACATGACTGAAATTGTCAGTGAACTCTTATTAGAGTTATTCCCCTTTTATGCTGATTTTTACTGAAAAAAAGTGGCCATTGTTGAAGATGCAGGTGAGCGACACAGGCACTTTAGAGCCTCTAGTTTCTTTCATCGTAAAATAGGTATTTAATTATCAGTTAGACATTCAATGTCCAACAATTTGGTAACAGCATACTGAGTTAGTTATGTACTTTTTAATGAGCTAGTCGTAAAAGGTCCAATAATAATCTATACTCAGTTAGTTTGGTACTTTTTTTATAAAGTATACATTCATTGTCCAACAATCAAATACAATTTTACAGAAAAACAAATCGTAACAAATCACCAATCAGGTGAATTATGACCATAAAGTATTAGCATAAAGTCTTTGTATTTTGACTGCTCAGATAGCACAGTTGTGTTAAGATTGGATATTTTGCAATGATTTCTTGATAAGATTTATACTTCTAAAGATAATATTTGCAATGATTTCTTGATAAGATTTATACTTCTAAAGATAAGGATGGGAACAACCAAAGGTCACTGCACAACTTTAAACTATGAGCAAAACACAAGCTGACAGCAAGCCACAAAAAGCCCCACACTGACCAAATGAGAAAAAATACCAAAGAGAAAACACCCTAACCCATGCCATTGCAAACAAATGAAAAGGATGACAGACAGCAAACAACAATAACCACTGGACCACAGACCCTCGGCCAGGGACAGGCACACAAAGAATGTGATGGGTTGAACATGTCTGTGAGCCCTCAAACTTTCAAAATAGAAGACAGCATAATTACAAAGTGCAAGTATCAGTTGAAAAGACGATAGACTCATCAGATCAGTACTTAGTGGAAAAAAATTACAAAGACAAGAGCACTCACAATTACTGAAGGCTAGTTCAAAGTCCAATTGTAATAGATAAACAAACCATTTCCCCCGGACCTCTGACATATATTCTGTGTTGTTTTGTAGGTTGCTATGAAGCACCCATCAGTAGTATCATCCTGTAACTTGGAGTTAGAGAACCTGATTACAGATTCCAACAGAAGTATAGCAACCCTGGCCATTACTACCCTCCTCAAAGTAAGTCTGTAAATAGTCATGTTTATTAATTCTATTATCTGATTTTGAGTACATTTTTCAGGCCTGTGATTTTGTCGGTAATCCAAGGACTTGGTAGCTTGTGCAATAAAGAGTATTTTCAGAAAAAAATTTGATGATGAAAATTATCTTCAATAAAGATCTGGAAATGAACAGAATATAAGGATTATTGATACTGGAGAAGTATTTAGATACAGAGATTCAAAGAAAAATATTTATACTGCCTTCAATTTATTATTATTTGTAGAATCCCTATTTCTGTGGATTTTTGAGTCATATGAAGTATGAATTCAAGTGAGAAATGAAGAAAAAAGTGGGAATGCAGCTTAGTTTTGCTATTTTTCTGTGGTAAAAAGATAAAGAATATTTTTAAAGTTTGTAGTTCTGACAAGATAAAGCTTTGCAACTTCAGAACATTTTGAAAGAAAAGGGATTTAGTGAAACAGAATTTTTTTTCTTTTTCAGTATTTTTCTTCATGCCTATTCCAGAATTAAGTGTATGAGGGGAGGGATATTTACAGCTTTTAATATTAATTTGTAGGAGTAGTGGGTATCTTAACAAGTTTTCCCACAATAGCTCATTAAATTTCTACTTACAATTGTATGGCTTGGGTTTTTTTTGGAAAAAAGGCCTTCCAACCACCCCTAATATTCAATTTTGGAATAGCCCCACATTAAGTTGGTGAATCTTTGTAGATTTTTTGTTTTCTAGTAAATTAAGATATCTTACCATATTTTGGAAAATATGAATGTGAAATTCTACAAACCATGAATAATTTGAATCCAATAATAGAGGAACTTTTGTTATATGTATATGTTTGTTATATTTGCATATTTTTGTTATACAGTAGACTCCACCTAATCGGATATCAGCTAAACGAATATATCAGCTATTGTAATATTTTTTCAAAACATTAAACCCTTCCCTTTATGTTTAATGTTAATTTTATCTTGTAATCGAATATCGGATATAAGAATATATCGGCAAATAGGATAAGAATATTCAGGAAATTTTGTTCAGAACCATGCACAATCGGATATTTTCAATGTTTTTCTGACAGGAAATGGAACCGGATTAGCTCTACTCATTATTGCAGAATTTTCAATGAATATACATTTATCGTCTAATTGAATATATCGGATAATGGGATATTTTTTGCTGACATTTTGGGTATCCCATTTGCCGGAGTCTACTGTATTTGCATATTTTTGTTATATTTGCAATATCTTGTGAATTGTAGACTGGAAGTGAAAGCAGTGTTGACAGATTGATGAAGCAAATTTCTAGCTTTATGAATGAAATATCTGATGAATTCAAGATTGTTGTTGTACAAGCTATACAGTAAGAAGTTTTATTTATAATTATGTATCACTGATTAAAAATTAAGAACATCAATGAGATAGCAACCCAATGGAACAATAAAAAACATAAATTAGAGATTGCATAATAAATCTGATCTTAGTTCTAACGTGTTCTTATACACAACAGGCTGCCCTATTCATCTTGTATTCTTCTTTGCATCTATCAAAGACCCCTTAGGACACTAAGTTCAGCAAGCACTGGTCTATGATGAGAAAGCAAGATAATTTCTGTTTTGTTTGTTATCATTACCACTAGATTATTTAATATGAGGGAAATGTTATCATTACCATTAGATTATTTAATATGAGGGAAATGTCATTTGGATATCAACCCAGCAGATATGGATACTGAAAGTAACATTTCTGATATGATATGAACTTAAATGGTTATAACTATTACAATATCTTCATGCAAATATTTGTTTCTTCTCTTTCAGGTCATTATGTTTAAAATTCCCAAGAAAGCACAATGTTTTAATGAATTTCCTGTCGTCCATGCTTAGAGATGAGGTAATTAAATTTAAAATTTCTTGTAGGCAGTATATAGAAATGTGTATTTTTTCCTGTTTAGATGTAATATAGTGTGACACTTAACTTGAACAAATTTAGCTCACTTATTGGACAATGGAATTGTACCCAATTTACTGATATATATGGTGAATTTAAAAGTTACTGCATTTTTAATTGGTTATAGTGGAATTACTGAATTTACATTCATATTAAGACTTTTAATATGTTTTGTGTCTAGGGTGGATTTGAGTATAAGAAAGCCATAGTTGAGAGTGTAATCACTATTATAGAAGAAAATCCAGAGGCAAAAGAAGCAGGTCTGTATTTTGTGTCCTTATTTTGTGGTAATGTAAAATTGCATTTTGATAATCATGACAATTTCTGTACTAAATGTAATTTTGTGAGAAAGGATGATGGTAAGAGCCCTTATCTGGCCCTTAAAATTGCTAAAACACTTTTGATTTTTTAATTTCTTTTAAAGTTCAGTTTATTTTATTGATCAATGAAAAAAAGTTCAGTTTATTTTATTGATCAATGAAAAGGATAAAAAAATCTGGACAGTTCTTGATGTCATGAACATTTTAAAATTGACATTTTCAATTTTACACCTTATTTTTTGTTAAAAAAGGTATGAGATAAAGCACTACCCCAAAAGGTATTTTCTGATATCAACTTTTTTGGTTATGACATCCTGTAGCAAATATAATGTTTGTAAAATAGGGGTTCATCTATAAATATTAAAGACAAGAATTAAAGATTGAAAAATTTGGCCTATTTTGCATTTTTTTGTTGTAGTTTTGTGTTAAATGCAAGAAGTTTCAAGCTCTAAAGCAAACATGCAACATAAAGTTCAAAAATGTAAATTGTGATTTCTGATGTCCTGTTAACATTTGAAGAATGTTAGTGGATAGATTTGTATTTATGAGGGACAAAAAAAATTAGCCATATCATGCCTTCTAAACAGGATTTCCCCTGGGTCAATTTTCTTTTTCGCCACCTCTTTCGCCAAAACAACATATTTTTCACCACTTTCAATCTTTTTTCGCCAACTAACAACTAACATAAACATATTTTTCTTTAAAATTTTCTTTCTTTCTAACAAAAAAATATCAGGTTGCCCCATTGCTGTCTATGATAATTCACAAATCTTTTTTTTTAAATCTACATTGTAATGAATAAACACTAAACATTTACTTTTTAGAAGATACTGTAAAATTGCAATATAAATCATGAAATCATAATTTTTTACTTCTGGGAACACGAGATTCATCTTCAATAAGTTAATCGGATATATAGGATAAAGATTAAAGTCAGAGATTTTTCTTACTTTTGAATTAATTCTTCGTAGCAACAGTTTTCATTTCAGGACCATCGTAAAAAGAAAAAGTTGAGACATAAAACTATGCTTGAAACACGTGCGTCGCCAAAACGGTTGTAAAGTACAGGTACCCACTTCAAATCAATTATTTCTATCAAAGTTAAAGGAAAAAGTTTATAAAGTTGGTGATTTTTCTTGCTTTTGAACAGTTTTCGTCATAGGGACAGTTTTCTTTTCCGCACTATTGTTAAAAAGAAAACGAGGAGACGTAAAACTATTCTTCAAACATTGCAAAATTGTAAAATCCTTTAGGTGACACATGACGCTATTTAACCACATCATTTCGTAAAATAATACAATCAACACCTTCTATAAAACGCACTTAGCTGATTATTGATTTTCTGTCAAAGTCGTTACGAGTTCAAGGTGAATTCCGAATATTGTCTGATCAGGTAAAGTCCGAAAAAGCCGAAAAAAGTAAACAAGATGGATGAAATCGAATTGTTATATTTCTTTCGCCAAATTCTTTCGCCAATAACGAATTTTAATCGCCACTATTTTTATTTTTTTTCGCAACGTGCGAAAAATGGCGTCCGCCAGCGGAAACCCTGCTTCTAAGTAAATACTTGTACTTTATTTGGCAAAATCATACTTTTCATGATAATTTATGATTAAATAAAGATGAATCTTGCTGGATAGAAGGCTTTAATGGCACAAAACACATGTTATAATGAACCAGGAGATACATGATATAAGACATATAGATTATGAAAAATTAATTTGAAGATTTTTAAATGTATGTCATAGAATGTTTAATAAATTTTGTGATTTTTAGGACTTGGTCATCTCTGTGAGTTCATAGAGGATTGTGAACATACTGTCCTGGCAACAAAGATTCTTCATTTGTTAGGAAGAGAAGGACCAAGAACACCAACACCATCTAAATACATCAGATTTATATACAACAGAGTTATACTAGAGAATGCTGCTGTCAGAGCAGGTATAGTTCTCATTATTTCAGTTACATTCATTTTAGCAGTAGGCTAATTCTTAGTATTGCCTCAATTTTCTGGATCCTCTTTTATAACCAGTACTGGTAAATTTTTTTACTCTTTTTAAATTATACCAAATATGAATGCTATCATACAGAATATGACTTTAGCGTTAGATAAAAAATGCAGAACAATTATAGAAATATAAGATATTTGAGTCTGTTTTCTTTAAAACATTTTAATTTGACAAGAAATGACAAACACTACTGAAATTTGCTTTTTAAAAATACGTCAAGAAAAAATATATGTTTTATTGTCGAGCCTTTGACTTTTGTCGAAAAAGCGAGACATAGCGATCCTACATTCCGTCGTCGATGTCGACGGCGTCCACAAATATTCACTCTGTGGTTAAAGTTTTTGAAATTTTAATAACTTTCTTAAATTATTCTGGATTTCTACCAAACTTGGACAGAAGCTTGTTTATTATCATAAGATAATATTCAAAAGTAAATTTTGTAAAAAAAAAATTCCATTTTTTCCGTATTTTACTTATAAATGGACTTAGTTTTTTCTGCCAGGAAACATTACATTCACTCTGTGGTTAAAGTTTTTGAAATTTTAATAACTTTCTTAAACTATCCTGGATTTCTACCAAACTTGGAAAGAAGCTTGTTTGTGATCATAAGATAGTATCTAGAAGTAAATTTTGTTAAAAAAAAAATTCCATTTCCGTATTTTACTTATTAATGGACTTAGTTTTTCTGCCAGTTAACATTACATTCACTCTGTGGTTAAAGTTTTTAAAATTTTAACAACTTTCTTGAACTATCTTGGATTTGTACCAAACTTGGAAAGAAGCTTGTTAATGATCATAAGATAGTATCCAGAAGGAAATTTTGTTAAAATTTTGTTCCATTTTTTCCGTATTTTACTTATAAATGGACTTAGTTTTTCTTCCAGTTAACATTACATACAGTCTGCAGTTTAAGTTTTTAAAACATTTATTAGATTCATAAACTATCCTGGATTTTTACCAAACTTGGACAGAAGCTACCTACAATCAAAAGATAGTATAGAGAGGAATATTTTCATTAATTTTTTTCCTCATTTTTGTTGAGCCTGCGATTAACAGCAAAAGTAGGCGAGACACTGGGTTCCGCGGAACCCTTACGAATTTTATATTAATTAGTTACTTCTGCAACCTTTCATTTCATGAAAAAAACTGTAATTTTGAAGAAAAATTTCTAATAATGGTAAGAAAGACCCTTATTTTAACACTCTTCAAAATAACTTTTCAAAATTTTGGACAGTTTAAAGGCTTAGTAGTTTTCACCTGTTCTATTAATAATTTAAAAAACTATGCTTGAATTAACTTTGACCGTCTTTGTATTCCAGCTGCTGTAACTGCACTGGCTAAGTTTGGTGCTCACTGTGAAGAATTATTACCTAGCTGTTCAGTCCTGTTAGAAAGGTCAGTATTTATCTACTATTTTCAATGCTAGTTTCCCAAAAAATGTGGAAAAAGAGATTAAAAGATAGGATTAAATTAAGGCGGTAGTATAATGTAAAAAACAAATATATCTCTTCTCATTATACAGACATGCATCACTTGCCTTTGGATTTTCTGCTTCTATCTTATCTGGTAACTACAGATTTAAATTATAGGAAAAGCACTAAAAATTCACTAAAAAGAGGAGATAATCTAGGAAATATACAAAATACTAACATATCAAAAACAAGATTTTTCTGTTGGCAAGCATTCAGAAGTGACAGCTTAAAATCATTTCTTACTGGGGACAATTTACAATCTTAGTTTGGTACAGTTTGTAAATGATAAATTGCCTTATGTCAAAGAATAGCAGTGACTGTACAAATTTTATATACTTATCTTGTACAAATCAGAGGAGCCTACTAGGTAAATTTTACTAATTGATGTATATTGTAGGTATTTGCGTCAATTTTGACTAAAGTATGTACATGTATATAGTAGGTATTTATCATAAATTTTTCTTAACTTATGTTTATAGAAAGTGTTTATTGTAAATATTGACCAAATCGATGTATATTGTAGGTGTTTATTGTAAATGTTGACCAAATCGATGTATATTGTAGGTGTTTATTGTAAATGTTGACTAAATTATGTATATTGTAGGTGTTTATTGTAAATGTTGACTAAATTATGTATATTGTAGGTGTTCATTGTAAATTTTGACTAAATTATGTATATTGTAGGTGTTTATTGAAAATTTTGACTTAATTATGTATATTGTAGGTGTTTATTGTAAATTTTGACTAAATTATGTATATTGTAGGTGTTTATTGGACACTGATGATGAAGTAAGGGACAGAGCTACATTTTATGTTGATGTTCTGAAACAGAAACAGAAGGCACTCAACTCTGCTTATATTCTCAATGGTATGTTAAAACAAATTGCATCTATATTTCAGAATGAAAGGCTTTCTTGGATATATTTTCAAAAGTCGCAAGCAGACACTAAATCATTGTACTTGGATGAAAAACATCCTGAATAATTGATTTTTGATCAGTAATATTCCATGTTTATTTTGATATTTTGTAAAATTACCAATAGCCTTCAACTTCTGAAACTGAATTTTTTGTCCAATTGTATATTTTTGAATGACATCATTATAACCTTGGATAATGTTCCAATATATTTGTTAATTGGATTACATTCTATTCTTTATCTGTTTAGGTCTACAAGTATCTGTGATTGGATTGGAAAGAGCATTACATAATTACACCCTGGAACCATCTGAGGCACCATTTGACTTGAAGTCCGTACCTCTTGATACTCAACCTGTTTCTGAACAGAAAGGTAATATATATAACATAAAATGTTGACTTGAAAAATTATGAAATTGTTTTTGGTGAAAAAAATAGAAATAACAAAGTTGATTTGTAAACATCATTACACCTAGTCAGTACATTGTGTTACTTTGTACTATATTTGTATAATTGGATTATTTTTTAGTAAGGGAACCAGGAGATTCTGTATCTAAAGCAGCAGACAAAGTGGTTGCTTCAACTCAAGATATTTATGCAGGTAATTTTAAAGTTAAGAGTTACATTCATATTGCTAAACGATATGACAAATTGAAATTCTGTGCAATTATTTCATTCTCATTAAACTTAGGGAATAGTTTTATGTTAAGTATGATGTACATGTATAAACTTTTTATAGTACACAATTATCATTTCAATAAAATCCAATGGCTAATTTCCTAATTTTTTGTGTAAATGAAAAAAAAATGTATTTGTACAATTTTTTTTCCCTGAAAATACACCCTTGGAGAATTTTCATATTTATAGTACAAACCAATGTAAAGAAAAATCAGATATTTGGTCTTAATATAAAATAACAACAGAACCAGCAGAAACCTTCAGACCTTGAATTGTTGATATACTTTATTCAATTTATACAAAGTCTATGCAGAAAATACTAGTTGAAACCATTTAGAATACATATATCTTGTATTGTATACTGCAGAACGATTGGCAGCTGTTCCTGAGTTCTCCAACCTTGGATCTTTGTTCAAGTCCTCCAGTCTGCCAGTGGAGCTTACAGAATCAGAGACTGAATATATGGTCCAGTGTGTTAAACACTGCTTTGGTAGATACATGGTCTTCCAGGTATGATTTAATCTTTATGTTGTTATTATGAAATTAAACATTATGAATAAGAGAGCTTAGTGGTCAGTGCATTTAAATCTGCTTTGACTGATACATGATTTTATACTGACAGTTTTACTATTTGTTTTAAATATTGTTGGAACAAGGTTAATGCAGTCAAATGCTTAACCATTTGATAGATGCTAATAAGTGGGGGGGGGGGGGGGGGGTGGCCAACCCTTGTAAACAGATTTCTCATTTACAGAACATGGTGTTCCAGGCTAAGCAGTTTTTCTGATATATGCCCATTTGTTGGTAGAAGTTCGAATATATGAAGTTGGGAGATTTTTTGTTCCTTACCTAATTGAAAGATTTTAAATGAAATACAAAAATCAGTAGTTTTGAAAGGAGGAATTGAAGAATCATGTAATCCAAAAACAACAAAATTTCCTCAAACTATGAAAATGAAATACCAATAATGTGTTTAATGTCTTAAATTACAGTTTGATTGTACAAATACACTAAATGATCAGGTCCTAGAGAATGTGACAGTTCACATGGATCCTGCTGAAGGATTTGATGTAATGAAGTATGTCCAGTGTCCAAGTCTACCCTACAACAAACCTGGTACCACATATACTATGGTCAGACTCCCAGAGGATCCTACTCAAGGTACGCTATAATCAGTAACCTGCAGAAAATATTTAAAACAGAAAACAAAAAGTTAAATCTAAAAAGCTGTTAAGAGGAAAAAAGGCATATATTGACTGAGGTTATTTTGTGAATATAAGAAAATAAAAATGTAGAAAAAATCCAGACATTTTTGTGATATAACTTATTGATTAAAACGAAGTGTTTGAATTATTCGTTTAGAAAAATAGGTTTACAAAGATCATTTAACTCTTATAATGGATGAACAGCTTCACAAGGATCATATAACTATAAAGATTGAAAAAGGAAGTGATTCGTGCTCAAAATTAAGATAAAAGATGATTATATTAATTTGCAGTAACTGGAACATTTAGTTGTACACTGAAGTTTATTGTGAAAGATTGTGATCCTAACACAGGGGAAGCTGATGATGATGGATATGAAGATGAATATGTTGTAAGTTTTCTAACAAAATAAAATTAAAGTTTGTATGTAGTATCATTCATAATTTGTCAGCAGAAATAAAATATAATTACAAAATTTTCCTTTTAATATGTTATGTGCAGTTAACAACACTCAATACATGATAATTATTTTTGACCAGCAAATATAATTGACTTCATACAAGAATATTCAAACCAACCAAATTTCTGAACAAATGAAAACTAGCATGTTTGAACCAGTGGCAGTGAAACAAATTTAAGGAAATGCACAAGAAATGTTTTAAGACAAAACATTTCTTTAATGAAAGGCTACTGCAGCAGTATAAATACACCATTTGCCAATTTTTTTCATCAACTTTGAAAAGTTTTTGACAAAAAGTGGGGGTCCTGCACCTCAGAGGATTTAAGAAAATAAAAGGAGGTATAGGTATAAAATTAAAATTCAATGAAAAATAATGGATTATATAAAATACTATTAAATATTTTCAATTCTATCATAGTTTAAAGAAGATTCTTAAATCATACAATCTTAATTTTGTAGTATTGTAGATTGATCTGAATAAATCAAGGGGAGACAACAGTTTTATTTGTAGTTTTATTTTGTAACTGCAATAAATTAGAAATTCCAGGAAATGTGGCATTTACTTGTATATTTTCACTGTAGCAGCTTATCAAAATGAAAATGTTAGCCAAGATAATTCTTTGATATTTTCACAGCTTGAAGATGTTGAAGTCACTGTTGCTGACCATGTACAGCGTGTGATAAAACCAAACTTTGGAGGGGCATGGGAAGAAATAGGACCGGAAAATGAACTTGAGGATACATTTGCTCTCTCAACTGTCAAGTCTCTGGAGGGTAAATATAATAAGATATACTGTACTATGTTGTACTAATGCAAGAAAAAATACAACTAATCTCAGGTATTGGCAACAATTAAAGGATGCATATCTAAATATCTAAGCCAAAGATTTTTTATACGAAAATATTTTAAATTACTCAGATTTAATAGTGTTCGAAGTTGACAAGTTTATATTAATGTTCTACATTGATTTAAAATGTCAGATCATGTATGATAAACAAAATGCCAAAAAAAAATATGAATGAAAATTTTTTTAGATGAATTTTGCATTAATAACTATTTAGAAATATCCTTCTTAGGTAAACTGAATCAAGATATTGTGTAGAAATAATCATGTCAGCATCAACACAGACACATGAATAATACTGCTATTGTTTTTTAATTACAGAAGCTGTGAAGAATATCATTCAGTTTATGGGTATGCAGCCATGTGAGAGATCAGACAAAGTACAAGAAGGCAAGAGTTCACACTCATTATTTTTATCTGGTGTATACCGTGGTGGCCATGATGCTCTAGTCCGAGCTAAATTAGCTATGACAGATTCTGGTGTAACTATGCAGTTAACTGTGCGTTCCACTGATCCTTATGTGTCTGAAGTGCTAGTTACAGCCATAGGATAAATATTTGAAGGACAGTAATTTTTTTTGTAGGAAAATTTTGATAAAGAATATTGAAACATACCTTATTGTTTCAATATTAAAAAAAAACTGAAATATTATTTATTGTAATGGTTTACAAATTGATTTGTTTTGATGGAAAACATCATGTAGTGTTGGATGTGTTTTATATTATGTATTATTGCTTTTGTGCAATAAAAGTTGGAGGAGGGAGGATATGTTTGTTATCACATGATTGGAGCCATTAAACAAATTTAAAATTGCATGTGTAACTGTAGGATTATCACATAATTAGAGACTCTTGTTGTGTTTTAATTTTCAATATGAAAGTAAGGCAAGAGACCATACATCAAGAAAAACAAAATGTGAATACTGTACATTGTCATACAAAAAAACTCAAAGATACCAGGCTTATAATTTTGTACAGCAGATGCTCTTTTCGTCTACAAACGACTCATCACTGACTGATCAGTGATGTTCAAATCAAAAAAGTTAAAAGGCTAAATAAAGTACAATTTGAAAAGCATTAAGGACTTGAAGTTCCGAAAGGTTTTGCCAAATATACAGTACACACTGGGACATAGTCTGATAGATCATCAGCATTTTGTATGCCTGACATCAGATACTGGGCTTTTTTTGGGGGTCATAAATCATTGGCTGGTGGTCAGGTTACCTGCTGTGATAATTACAGGTTGACCACCAGGTGTTTGATTACCATGGAAAGGTGGAAAGTTTCATTACTTGATTACATAAATACTTACCTTTACAGGTAGATTTAATTGTGCTGTACACACAAAATTAAGAAAGTGTCATGAATTTTGTTCTGCTTTTGTGTTTTTATATGCCCGTTTACGGGACGTATTATGGTATACCGTTGTCAGTCCGTTGTCAACATAACTCAAAATCGCTTTAACCAAATTGTATTAAACTTTGATGAATTGTTTATATTTATTGATGTGAGCTCCCTTTCCATTTTTAAAAATTTAAGATTTTACGTTTCCAAGTTATGGGGTTTTATTCATTAATAAACTGCTTCGCTGAGCGCAGCTGGATACGCCCGCAGAGGTCCAACCCTGAACAATTGGGGGAAAAATGGACACAATATTCAAGCTTGATACAGGTCTGAATTTGGATTGTAATTAAATATTTGACATATAATAGGTTTCTGAATAAATGTAGTCAAAGAACTTGAAAATGATTATATGAATTGAATTTATATTCAATTAAAGATTTCTTGCTGTTGTGCAATACACTGTGCTGTTGCGCAATACTAAGTATCTGTTGTCAGACTATAAACAAACAATAACTTCTCAATGTTATATCAGAACTTTATAAAAAACTAAAGGGAGGTTATCTTAAAAGATATAAATCAGTCATCAAAGTTAAATGAAAACTGCTCAAAGCACTTTAAGGATATTGTCCAAAAACTTGAAAATCAACCCTTTTTTTATGAATAAAATCTTATAACTCGGAAAAATAAAATCTTAAATTTATAAAAATCAAAAGGGAGCCTACAACAATAGAAATAAACAATTTTCCAAAGTGTCATTAAAAATGCTGAAAGCTGAGTTATTGTCCGAAAACTGGAAAATCCCCCTTTTTGTAATGAATTAAACCCTATAAATCGGAAATATATAGTCTAAAATTTAAATTAATCAAAATTTCTTGCAAATTGGTGAAATTATTTTTGAGTTAATGTCCATAAACTGGAAATGCCCCCCTTTTTTAATGAATAAAACCCCAAAACTCGGAAATGTAAAATCTAAATTTATAAAATTCTAAAGGGAGCTTACATCAATGCTGAATAGATATATACAATTCACCAAAGTTTCATAAAAATCCCCCTTTTTGTAATGAATAAAACCCAATAAATCAGAAACGTATGGTCTAAAATTTATAACTAGAGGCTATCAAGAGCCTGTGTCGCTCACCTGATTCTACTTTGGTTTTGGAAATCATATTAAAATAGATTAAAATCATAACAGATACCCTAATAATGAGTGAGGCCAAATTTGGTTTAATATTGGCCCTGTAATTAAATAAAAAATCCTGGTGGCTATCTTGTACAGTAATCAGCAACAAAGTAGCAACACTTCATCAGCACCTCATAAGAAACATTTATGCCATGTTTGGTTTCATTCCATTCAGAGCACCTCTAGAAGAAGCATTTGTATGTATTTCCAATAGGATCTTATGTTAAAGGAAGTCCCCCCGCTGGCGGCCATCGTGGATGAAGGATCAGCTTCAAAGTAACAACACTTAGTCAACACCTCATAAGGAACATTCATGCGATGTTTGGTTTCAATCCATTTAATGGTTCTCTAAAAGAAGACATTTGTATGTATAGTCCATAGGGTCCTTTGTTAAACACTGTCCCCAGCTGGTGGCCATCTTGGATGATGGATCGGCTTCAAAGTAACAACACTTGGTCAGCCCTTCATTAGAACATTCATGCCATGTTTGGTTTCATTCAATTCAGTGGTTCTCTAAAAGAAGCATTTGTATGTATTTCCAATAGGATCTTATGTTAAACTAAGTCCCCCGCTGGCATCCATCTTCGATGATGGATCGGCTTTAAAGCAACAACACTCGGTCAGCACCTCGTAAGAAACATTCATGCCATGTTTGGTTTCATTCCATTCAGTGGTTCTTTAAAAGAAGACATTAGTATGTATTTCCCATAGGGTCCTATGTTAAACTAAGTCCCCCGCTGGTGGCCATCTTGGATGATGGATCGGCTTCAAAGTAACAACGCTTGGTCAGAACCTCAGAAGGAACATTCATGCCATGTTTGGTTTCATTCCATTCAGTGGTTCTCTAAAAGAAGACATTTGTAAATATTTCCCATAAGGTCCTATGTTAAACTAAGTCCCCCGCAGGCGGCCATCTTGGATTATGGATCGGCTTCAAAGTAACAACACTTGGTCAGCACCTCATAAGGAACATTCATGCCATGTTTGGTTTCATTCCATTCAATGGTTCTCTAAAAGAAGAATTTGTATGTATTTCCCATAGGGTCCTTCCTATGTTAAACTAAGTCCCCCGCTGACGTCCATCTTGGATGATGGATCGGCTTCAAAGTAACAACACTAGGTCAGCACCTCATAAGAACCATGTTTGGTTTTATTCCATTCAGTGGTTCTCTAAAAGAAGACATTTGTATGTATTTCCCCATAGGGTCATATGTTAAACTAAGTCCCCCGCTGGCGGCCATCTTGGATGATGGATCGGCTTTAAAGTAACAACACTTGGTCAGCACCTCATAAGAAACATTCATGCCATGTTTGGTTTCATTCCATTCAGTGGTTCTCTAGAAGAAATTAAAAATGTAAAAAGTTAACGACGACGGACTACGACTGACGCCAAGTGATGAGAAAAGCTCACTTGGTCCTTCGGGCCAGGTGACCTAAAACTCAAAAGGGAGCTCATGTCGATAGAAATAAACAATTCACCAAAGTTTTTTTGCAAATTGGTGAAACTGTTTTTGAGTTATTGTCCACAAACTGGAAAATCCCCCCTTTTTTAATGAATAAAACCCCAAAACTCGAAAAACGGTAAATCCGAAATTTATAAAAAACGAAAGGGAGCTCACGTCAATAGATATAAACAATTCACCAAAGTTTCATGCATATCGGTTTAAGCGTTTTTGAGTTAATGTCCGACATGTTGACGACGGACAGACGGTCAACGGTATACCATAATACGTCCCGTAAATGGGCGTATAAAAAAGGGGGATTTTCCAGTTTTCGGACAATAACTCAAAAATGCTTTGAGCAGTTTTCAGGATACTTTAGTGAATTGTTTATATCTAATAATATGAGCTCCCTTTCGATTTTTATAAATTTTAAATTTTACTCATAAAAAAAGGGGGGGTTTCCAGTTTTCGGACAATAACTGTAAAGTGCTTTAAGCAGTTTTCATGAAACATTGGTGACTGGTATCTTTTAAAATAACCTCCCTTTAGGTTTTGATACGACTGCAAACAAATTTTGCAGTCGTATATTGGTATCACGTTCGCGTCGTCCGAAGACATTTGGTTTTTCACAAAAATAACTTTAGTATAAGTAAATAGAAATCTATGAAATTTAAACACAAGGTTTATGACCACAAGAGGAAGGTTGGGATTGATTTTGGGGGTAATGGTCCCAACAGTTTAGGAATTAGGGGCCAAAAAGTGGCCCAAATAAGCATTTTTCTTGTTTCCAGACAATAATTTGTGGAATAGTGTATGGATCTCTCTGAAATTATACCAAAAGCTTCCATACCACAGAGGGATGGTATAAATTGGCTTTGGGGGGTTATGGCTCAAACCGTTTAGGAATTAGGGGCAAAAAAGGGGGAAAAACAAGGGTGTCCTGGTTAATGGACAATTACTTAAGTACAAACATAATTTAAAAGCAGTGTAAGGGAAGTAATTCAAACACAACATTTTGAATTACCTCCCTTACACTGCTTTTAAATAATGTATAAAGAAATGTTGTATAGACTTGAGTTGATTAGCTGTCAATTTATTTTTAGAAGTTACTATTTTAAAAATGCTGATGAAGGTTATTTAATTTTAGCCATGATTATGTATGTCATTTTCTATTTTAAGACTTTTATGATGTATTTAAATGGGTTATTATGGCTGCAAACTCCATTGGAAATTTGAATTGAGATTATGACCATATCTTGAGGGAAAGAATGTTTTTTTGGAAAAAAAGGGGGGGGGGGGGGATGTTAAAAAAAATTTGAGGGGTGGTGGGGACAATTTGTTCTCAAGATTTCAGAAATTAAAAAGAAAATTTCTTCAAATATTTTTTGGAAAATGACGCTGTCAAAGCGTCAATTTTACTATACCATTGACCAGATTTCATTTTATCGCTTCCGGTCGCTTCCAACCAGACTTCCGAACTCGGTTCCATATTTTACATAACTATGTCCTGTACAGAATTTCATTCTTAACCTGTCCATATGTTTATTGTTATTAAATGGTATTTTGAGCTATCTCTTTGGAATATTTTTCATATTTATATGAACTTTCGCATTTTTTTTTGTGCATGACTTTCCATCCGTAAAAAAATCAGAATATAAATAGATCCGTATTGTTATGGTTTTGGACTTTTTACATACCAATGATAACAAATCGCTATCGCTAGAAAATAGTTCTTGAAAGAATGTTTACTTTTCTTGTCAGCTGAACTTTGAAATCATTCAAAAAATAATAATCAGAATCATCTAGAAATCATACGAAAGATAATGGTCTTTATCAAGATTTAAGAAGTTTTTAAGAATCGAAAATTAGTAATACGATTATATCCACGCGGTGCGTATGCATTTGTAAGTTACTGCTGCAGACATAATAGAGGTCAAATATCGCAGGGGCCAGTTCTATTAAAGAATACAATGGCGATAATTGCAGAAGTTTTTCTGTCAAAAAGACTTTATTTCTTTCTGGATTTCTTCACTTTAAAAAGAATTATAAGATGCAGAAACTTTATGAAAGGAGTAGGCAGTGCTCAATGAATCAAAAGTATTTAAGGAAAGTTTTACCCTTTCTCTGACAACGTGGTCTCGTCCATTTTTGAAACATTACGATTATTTCATTACTTTTAAGCTCACCTGGCCCGAAGGGCCTGGTGAGCTTTTCTCATCACTTGTCGTCCGTCGTCGGCGTTAACTTTTTACATTTTGAACTTCCTCTAGAGAACCACTGAATGGAATGAAACCAAACATGGCATGAATGTTCCTTATGAGGTGCTGACCAAGTGTTGTTACTTTGTAGCGGATCCATCATCCAAGATGGCCGCCAGCGGGGGACTTAGTTTAACATAGGACCCTATGGGAAATACATACAAATGTCTTCTTTTAGAGAACCACTGAATGGAATAAAACCAAACATGGCATGAATGTTTCTTATGAGGTGCTGACCGAGTGTTGTTACTTTGAAGCCGATCCATAATCCAAGATGGCCGCCAGCGGGGGACTTAGTTTAACATGGGACCCTATGGGAAATACATACAAATGTCTTCTTTTAGAGAACCACTGAATGGAATGAAACCAAACATGGTATGAATGTTCCTTATGAGGTGCTGACCGAGTGTTGTTACTTTGAAGCCGATCCATAATCCAAGATGGCCGCCAGCGGGGGGACTTAGTTTAACATGGGACCCTATGGGAAATACATACAAATGTCTTCTTTTAGAGAACCACTGAATGGAATGAAACCAAACATGGCATGAATGTTCCTTATGAGGTGCTGACCAAGCATTGTTACTTTGAAGCCGATCCATCATCTAAGATGGCCGCCATCGGGGGACTTATTTTAACATAGGACCCTATGGGAAATACATACAAATGTCTTCTTTTAGAAAAACCATTGAATGGAATGAAACCAAACATGGCATGAATGTTCCTTATGAGGTGCTGACTAAGTGTTGTTACTTTGAAGCTGATCCTTCATCCATGATGGCTGCCAGCGGGGGAACTTCCTTTAACATAAGACCATATTGGAAATACATACAAATGCTTCTTCTAGAGGTGCTCTGAATGGAATGAAACCAAACATGGCATGAATGTTTCTTATGAGGTGCTGACCAAGTGTTGTTACTTTGAAGCGGATCCATAATCCAAAATGGCCGCCTGCGGGGGACTTAGTTTAACATAGGACCCTATGAGAAATACATACAAATGTCTTCTTTTAGAGAACCACTGAATGGAATGAAACCAAACATGGCATGAATGTTCCTTATGAGGTGCTGACCAAGCGTTGTTACTTTGAAGCCGATCCATAATCTAAGATGGCCGCCATCGGGGGACTTATTTTAACATAGGACCCTATGGGAAATACATACAAATGTCTTCTTTTAGAGAACCACTGAATGGAATGAAACCAAACATGGCATGAATGTTCCTTATGAGGTGCTGACCAAGTGTTGTTGCTTTGAAGCCGATCCATCATCCAAGATGGCTGCCTGCGGGTGGACTTAGTTTAACATAGGACCCTATGCAACATATTTACAAATGTTTTCTTTTAGAGAACCACTGAATGGAATGAAACCAAACATGGCATGAATGTTCCTTATGAAGGGCTGACCAAGTGTTGTTACTTTGAAGCCGATCCATCATCCAATGGCTGCCTGCGGGTGGACTTAATTTAACATAGGACCCTATGCAACATATTTACAAATGTTTTCTTTTAGAGAACCACTGAATGGATTGAAACCAATCATGGCATGAATGTTCGTTATGAGGTGCTGACTAAGTGTTGTTACTTTGAAGCTGATCCTTCATCCATGATGGCTGCCAGCGGGGGGACTTCCTTTAACATAAGACCATATTGGAAATACATACAAATGCTTCTTCTAGAGGTGCACTGAATGGAATGAAACCAAACATGGCATAAATGTTTCTTATGAGGTGCTGATGAAGTGTTGCTACTTTGTTGCTGATATACTGTTCAAGATGGCCACCAGGATTTTTTATTAACTTACAGGGCCAATATTAAACCAAATTTGGCCACACTCATTATTAGGGTATCTGTTATGATTTTAATCTATTTTAACATGATTTCCAAAACCAAAGTAGAATCAGGTGAGCGACACAGGCTCTTGAGAGCCTCTAGTTCGAGTTAACAACTAAACTATTGAACCTGTATTGTTTTGAGAAAAGCATTCCCGTTGTCCAAGTGTTCATTACAAGCCCGTATTTTACGATTACTTTTTCAAAATCGGAAACGAAAATTTCTTGAAAATAAATAAAAAGTATTGAGATTTGCCATCCACTTTTCAATAACTATTAATTAAATATTAATTTAAAATCAATGTTAACTGTGGATGACTTGGATAAGGAATGGCATTTAATGATTCCTAGAGATACAACAAAGTGTTTAAACAGGAAGTTGTGAAGGGAGACAATTTCAAAAGTGCTTAAACAAGTATTGTCAAATCTTGTAAAATATTTCTGGTGGCAATATTTCACATATTCAGAAAATAACCAAACACAACTTTTAAAGGTGGTTGTTATGTTTCAATTAGCAAACATTTATTTATTGATAATCCACCTTTAATAATAAAAAAAACTTCTTAAAAAAAGATTTCTATCATATTTATCTTGGAATATGATCAAATAAGTTAGCCTATTTTAAACATGCCTTTAATAACATTTCAGTACTTATGGAAAGAGTTATTCCATTTCTTCCTTTGATATTTAAGAATATACCAATTTTAATTGCAAAATTGTAATTTGATAAATGTAAATAAAAATTAACGAAGAAATTCCAATTTTGTCATTGTAAACCTTCTTAACTTTGTGTATAAGTAAATTATGAAGCTGTAAAGGATATATAACTAGTTTATTAGTCAAACAACTGAAATTGAGAAAAGAAGATATACCTACTGTGCTACATTTGGAGACGGGTGGTAATAAAATCAAATTTTAGTAATCTAGGTATTTTAATTTTTAAAGTTTACTTAATAATTGAAATGTCACTTATTTGCATTTCAGTTAATGCACATGGCACATGTATAAAAAATCCAGGTATTTGTCTATTCAATAAAATAAAACTAACATGATAGTTACGAATAAATGTAACATCAAGTCACAACATGAAACTTAAGGTGCATCAATCTTTAATCGGGCGCTAATACCACAGCGCTATAAAAAAATCCCTGGGAGAACACTGGATTGTATTGCTTTCAGAGTTATATAATACACCTTGCCTAAGAAAAAGGTTTAGCTAGGTCCTTAAAAAAAATGAGGCTATATTGATGTAAAGTGACTTATAACTGCCAACAGCCACATTATTTAGACTCTGGTGGATAGCTAGCTAGTTATCAGACTGTTATCTCATTAGCAATCATGTAACCACATCTCCTTATTTTAGTACGGGTTAATTATTTGAAATAAATGATTGACAAACATTAAATCATTTGAAAAAAAGATAATTCTGCAATAATTTATGTTGTCATTTAAAGATTTCAGTTTATATATATATAAATATCAACAATGAAATTTGGTTGTATAAATGGTGTCACTATATTTGTAATTGTCAAACTAGTATAACAATACTATTGTCTAAAGTTTGTTTAAGTAACAGAAATAACAATGTCACTAAGTCACTAAGTCACTTGTAACTTGTCTCTTAAATAAGGAATATGTGGGGTATAAGAGCTTGCTTACTGCTAGCTCTCCATCATCATTTTGTTAAATAATTCTACAAAGAAGGGGATTGTCTGTTAATGTATCCTTGACTAAGAATAATGAAATTGCAAGAAACAAATTCACAAATTACTTTGAATATTGTAGATCGTTCAGGTAGTCTTGAGCTATTTCCTCATACAAAAGATACAACCAGTATATAAATATAGTCATGTTACACCACTGTCCCAGTTAAGGGAAGGGTTGGGATCCCGCTAACATGTTTAACCCCGCCACATTCTGTATGTATGTGTCTGTCCTAAGTAAGGAGCCTGTAATTCAGTTGTCGTCGTTTGTTGATGTGTTACATATTTGTTATTCGTTCATTTTTTTGTACGTAAATTAGGCCGTTAGTTTTCTCGTTTTAATTGTTTTACATTTGTCATTTCGGGGCCTTTTATAGCTGACTATGCAGTATGGGCTTTGCTCATTGTTGAAGGCCGTACGGTGACCTTTAGTTGTTAATTTCTGTGTCATTTGGTCTCTTGTGGAGAGTTGTCTCATTGGCAATTATACCACATCTTCTTTTTTATATTCACTTCGCACACATATACACATATCTTGTCAAACAAATAAAAAAGCCATAGACATTGAAAACAACTCTGTTCTATTCTATTGCCTGTCAGCATACCTACCATGAACTAAAAAGTCTGATTCAGTAGGTAAATTATGTAAAAACTAAGACTTGCATCAAAAATATCCCAATATTAGAGACAATGGCGTCATTTTTCCTCAGAGCTTTCAGCTCTGATTTTTTTTTTGCAAAAAAAAGGGGGTGGGGTGGGGGTGGTGGGGTAAAATATTTTTTTTTGGGGGGGAGGAGGTCAATTCGCAACAGCATAGTGTATTGCACAAAAGCAATAAAATGAATGTAAATTCAAATCACATAACCAATTCAAGTTCTTTGACTACAGTTATTCTGTGTCGGAAACCTATTATGTGTCAAATATTTAATTACAATCCAAATCCAGACCTGTATCAAGTTTGAATATTGTGTCCATTTTTGCCCCAACTGTTCATGGTTGGACCTCTGCGGTCGTATCCAGCTGCGCTCGGCGATGCAATTTATTATAAATTTCTGATATGACATTGAGAAGTTATGGAACTTCATTCTTTGAAAAAGCGATGGGCGTATCATCCGCTCATGGTGCAGCTCTTTATTTTATTCTGTTTGAATAACATTGTGCTATCAAGTATTTATATAGTATTATATAATTTCCATTTCTTCTTTCCTGTCTGTATTATTGGAGGACTAATTCAATTTTGTAAATATAAATAAATATTTATAAAAATTCATATAAATGATATTCAAAATATGAATATTATTTATAAATATAAATATTATTATAAATATAAATATCATTTATATGGCAAGCCATTGTGGTATTTATTCTGTATTTATTTATATTAAAAAATCATTTATTAATATTCAAAATTATTTTTTAACATTGATAAATCAAATTTTTAATATAAAAAATTATTTTTTAATATTCAAAAATAGTCATTTTTTAAAATTAATAAATATGTTTCATTTTTTAATATTAAAAATTCAATTGTTAATATTAAAAATTGTTTTGTGAATTTTTAATATTATAAATTCGATTTATCAATACTAGGAAATAATATTAAATATTAAGAAATAGATTTTCTTTTTTCTGCCAAACTATAAAAGATTGGAATAAATTACCTGAACCAATAGCCTGCAGCACCACTACTGAGTGCTTCAAGGAGAAACTCACCAGAGAAGTTCTCTTTGACATTTACCAATACCTACATCTTGTTTTTATCTTATACCAAAAAATAAAAAAATTAAAATTAAAAAAAATTACTTACAAATATAAAAATTAATATGAAATTAGTTAAATAAATTTGTAATTATTAACAATACTGTTAAACCAGGCATGCAGCGGAAAGTAAGCATCAACCAGTTGATGTTTTTCTGTATATAAAGAAGAAGAAGACCACGATCTAACTACGGCTTCCAAAATTTTTCATAATTTGAGAGGTCGTAGCGGTATCGTGGTCCTAGTGTGATGGGGGTATTAAGTTTTGTTTTAATATTGCAAAATTAACAATTTAAAGGGCCAACTGGATTATCAAAGATAATTATTTTTGTAGAAGCTGTTTTAATGTGATCCATGAAAAACTTGATGTAAACTGAGAAATATAATAAGAAGACTAGGAAAGTATATAACTTGTTGAAACTGTCCTTTTAGATAAATCATGACAGTAGTTTACTACTTCTGTTCAAAATCGATTAATACGACAAATCAAGGTATTAAACAAAAAAACTGCCCTTATGGTCATTTTGGTTCTATAGTTTCTTATTATTTTGAGATATATTTAACAATTTATTAACATAGTTTAGAAATATATATATTTATATGCATATACAAGTGTGGACACAGATCAGTGTGGATAGTAATTGTTAAATTTGTGTTAGTATGTTTGACAGTGTTATCATCAGCGAGTTTATGTATTGGTTGTGCCCCTTCCAGATGTTGTTTGAGCTATTTCTTTGTCTTTCACATAGGGTTCTATGTTAAATTGTGTTCAACTGTGACGGTCATCTTAGCTTTTTAGATAAGAAGCAAAAGCTCAAAATTAGCGTTGTGCAGGGTTCGACAAAAGTTTGTTTTTAAACAACTTGCCCTTTTTGCAAGTGACCATCCTATAATACTTGTCTGAAAGAGACAACCCTCTGAAATTTTGTACTTGCTTATGAAATTTCTATACTGCCATTTACAGACATAAAATGATGTAAAATTAGCTTTCTGTTTTTCTGCTGAAAAACTTCCCTAGAGTAAGCTGCCATGTCATCTTATTACAGATAAGCTCAGGATTGTTATTTATGAACATTAAATGTTCTCTATCCGAAGAAAATGCTGAGAATAAAACTATTTTCCAAGGCCCATGTGCTTTACCTGGGATATACAATGTATACTGATGCGTCTCTTGTATATTTTCACCCACAGAAACCCTTTCCTTAAATAAAGTAGTGCTGAACTTTGAGAAAGCTCATAAATTAAATTGTGTTCAGTGGTGGTGGCCACCTTGAATTTTGATTGGCAACAAAAACTCATAATTGGTTAAAGGCTATGTATGGATCATTTTTACAATATTTTAAATAAATAGAAGTTCCAAGATATTTGCAATTTAATGTAATCAGAATACATTTTGACCCTTGCAACTATAAATTTCAGATCCACACTAAAAAATAATTTTGTGAAGAACCTACAAATATGAAAATTCCTGCCAATTTTGATTTTAGTTGGCAATAAAAATTTTGCATAAAATTAAAATGTGAAAAGTTTTCAGACAATTAATCAAAAGTATATGGCAATGCCTCACATGACCCTTTGGGGCTCACCCTAGGTGAACTAATAGGTGTTTAAACTATCATTTTATTGTTTGTCTGGAAGGAAATGATTTCTGCTTAGACTCCCAAGGCCTGGTAGAAATAAAATAAAATAATTTTTTTCTTAAATATAACATTAATTAATGAAATGGTAAATTCAATTTATTTGTTCCCGATTATTGATTTCAAGGAGAAAAAAAAGAAATATGAAATATTAGAATTTAATATCATGACCATAGTATTTGACTGAATTTGAAATGGAAAAAAGTAATGCAGAATCAATTTTGTTTAAAAATTATTGTTTTGTGAGGAAAGATATAAATAACAAACCTTGAAGGAAAATGCTGTTGAAAATAGGTGCATTCAGATTTTACATCATAAAATAAAAATAAAGCAGTGCTGTTAGTACCACAAAGTTAGATTTAACAAATAAGTTAAACAATGTAATTTAATTTTAGAAGTCAGTTAGGCCTTGAGAGTTTCGTCCCTTTACATAATAATGATGTATAAATGAATGACCATTTGTACTTGGGACTCTTCAGTAGGCAGTACAAATGGTTAAACTATTTGTCAAAAATACCTGGCATCATACATGTATTGCAATAAGCATATTTTGTGTATTTATTTGTGTTTTTCTTTAGTTGGCTGTCTGGCAGACAGAGAATGTTAGATTCTAATGCAAATACTATCTATAATTTCCCTTAAGAGTTAATGTTATGCTTCAATAGTACCATGTGCAGACAGTTGGTAAAGAGTGCATAGATTATACAAAATGTTTCAACCATCATACCTTACAGTTCATATCATGTACATGTAGATATGGATTGTCTGTTTTAAAATCTGAATTCCATACATAATGTATATGCATAGCAATAAACTGAGCTTAATGCAAAGGACTTTAAAACTACATTTAGACAGAAAGCTCAATTCAGTGGTATACTTTGTAATACTGGTTATAATCATGATAACTTATAGTTACCAAACTGCATGGAGACCCTGAAAAAATAAAAAAAAATATTTCTATTAGATGTAGAATACAAAGGAAGCTATAGCAAAAATATTCAGTGCTAATCTAGTTGATATTTGCTTTGTGACATCGAATTTTTCCTTGGAAATGCAATAATTGGAAGAAGATTTATATATATAGCTATAAGGTCTTTTAATTTAAATTAATGATATTAAACAATGATTAAAGTTTTAGCATTTAACCCTATTCAATTTTCACAAATTATTACATTATAGTACATGTAGTATACCAAGATATACAACACAACAAACACAAAAACCCCCAATAATTTTGGATAACGAACCCAGTGCAAACCTAAATGTGAGCGAACAGCTCAGAGACATAGAGATGAAAGATTTATTAAGTCAGTACACATTGATGACATAAGTGCACATAACCTAAGCTCTGTAGAGCTTTAAAAGGTCACATATAATTACAACACAGTACGTATATATACAAATTTATACAATTAGGTTAGAGTACCAAACATGCATTATACAGTATAGCAGCTACAGTAAAGTATTATTGGTTATAAGCACTAAATGCATAATCAGCACATTTTAAAAGCAAAGTCTACTATAAAAAGAACTACTTTTTGTAAACAATAAACACTAGCACAACATGGACAAGCAAGTGAGTAAGCTATGTTTAAAATGTTATAAAGAAAATCTCTGTAATAAAGTGTGGATTTTCTGTAAAAATAAAAAAAAGTTGTGGAGTTAAGGTAGATACACTGTATACCGCCATCTTGGATTGTAAAATAGAATAAATTTTTCAACTTTAAATAGGTGGCAGAAACCAGTTGTTTTGCAATAATCTTTAGAATTTCATGGATATGTCAAGGATTTGAAATCCTTGGATATGTGATTTAATTTTTATTGAAAAATCATTCAAGCTAATATGCAAATAAAATTTATGGTTTCGGGTGACTAAGATTTGTGCGTGCTTATGTGAATATATAGAAAACCTGTAAATTTGGGTGTCTGTCCAGCATGGAGATTTTAAAATTTATAAATGCATTGCAAATAAGGCAAAAAATGTGTTGCCCTGATACAAATCTAATCCTCACCCTCAGAATCCTGCTAATTTGTGTGAAGGAAATTTCTTTACCTGTGTATGAAACTACTTACTGGGTACTGATTAATGTAGTACAATAGCCTAGCATTTAAATTCATTTGTTTTTTCAGTCCATATGATGCAATCATATATTTCATTACTTAACTATAACAAAATTTCTGAGTGGGACACATGTTCTGGTACACCAAAAACTGCTGGTACCTGCCACCTTAGCCATTTAAGGGGAGATAACTCTAATAGTAAACATTCTATAAAGGGATGTTAAAGAAATTAAAAATTTTACTTGTAGCAAGAAAACATTAGTAGCACTGTGACACATACTTTTTATTATATTTAAAAAAAACTTGGTAAATTATACACTTTGTGGTAAATTATACACTTTGGCAAAGTATGAGAAAATTATATTTGAGGAAAAACATACTGATGATCCACCTTAAGTAGGACCTTCAATGAATAAAAATAAGATTAACAGCAGGCTTCTCTTATATATGATCAACAAGTAAAGCACATATTACAAATTACACAGTAAAATTCTGTGTTTTTTAATCCTTACTCAGTTATTCCGGGTTCCAGGATGTGTGTCTTGATTGGCACAAGGATTTGTATAGTATACAAATCCTTGATTGGCAGAAGATATAATTTATCAGAAACAGATTGGCCAGGTTAGACATTTTAGAAG